TTTATGAAACATACTCGCCTTTATCATAGCCACAAACAGTCAAAATAGATACTCTACTTTAACTATTTTTAAGACGAAAGAAACTTACTCTTCTCTTTCGTAACAAAGTCAATGAAACATACACTAATCTCAATCTCACCCATAGATATAGGTATATAATACTAAATGACTCCGAATATATCGAAAAAAAAATTTAATAAAAAACACACACAAAAACTTACCGACTGAAACAGTGAAAACATAAAATGAGTATCGTTGTGTTTTTGAACCGCTTTAACTTCGCCACTCTCGAACAAACCGCAGACAGCTTTCGCTTGAAATTGTTCGGTGTTGCTGCAGTCGACTGGAATGCCTCTGAACAGGACATCCATGATTTTTCCAGTCCAGAACATGTCCTTTGGTTCATGGAAAATTTGGTCGATTGCCGCCGTAGCCATTGGAACCTGGGAATTTAAAAGAAAACTTGCATTTGACTAAAGTAACGGATTTTGATAGAAGTTTCTAAAACAATTGGAAATAAATGCCAAACACAGAATATGTAAATTAATTCTTTTTCTCTAATTTTTGACACCACCACGATCCGATAGCAAGAGACTTTTTACGTCACAGAAATGTGTATGTGCTTTACATGTTTATTCATGTTTAAATAATTGAAATTCTCAATTTTGACTACTTTCAGACGTTGTTCTTGTGTTTTTTAATGCAATTAAAATAGAAACTTTGTGATTACATGTTAGTTCATTAATATTTTCACCAGTTTCGCTCTTGTCACATTCCGTACATTCAAAATTGCCATAACTGAACGATTAAAGAGACAAATATTAAAGAATCAATGTATTTTTGGTTTTTGCTGTCGGATCGTGGACACCACCACAATAAAATGAATGGAAAGTAATAAATAAAATTATTATTGATTGTTTATACCATTGGTTGTTTATCCACCATCAGCGACATGAGCATCGTTGTCGTCACTATATTCGGAACGAACACACACGACAAAAAAAAATCGAGATATAATTTTTGTTCATATGCTATTTTTTCTAAACTTCCGGCGAAAAACGAAATTTGAAAATTTTAAAATTCGTTTTTTGGCTCACTAATATAATACAAATGATTTTATCCATACTTGTTATATTTTTGAAAAAAAAGTTAATTTGTCAGTTGAATATGGTTTCGAGCGATAAATTTTGACTAATTTGTTTTAGTTTACAGTTCAAAGAAAACTTGAAACGTATTCTTACGGGGATGTGGCATGGTAATCACTTCTTCGCCAGATAATCCAGGGCCACTCAAATCCGGTCGGAATATAAACGTATTTTTATAATTATACGTGAGAGTGTCTTCCTGGATGTCGTCAATCAGGTCGTATTTTACTTTCCATTCTTCGAAAAAGTATGGCCCTAAGATTTAAATCGAATTAGAATTTTTTCTAGCAAACGATAAAACTATAAACATACCAATTTCCACAAGTCGTGGTTTTCCACCTAAAAAAGAAATACATATGAACGCGTGAGAATAAAAGACTGACGCTAGCAGGTTTTTCGCAAAAGCGGGATAAAAATCAGTTGCACGCAAAAGAGACATTTCAAAAGGTTACACGCAAACGGAACATTTTATTTTGTCGCATTTTGAATTTTAAAGCTGTGATTACAACAACAATATACTTCTCTCTTGCGTGCAACCTTTTGAAATGTCTCTTTTGCGTGCAACTGATTTTTATCCCGCTTTTGCGAAAAACCTAGTAGCGTCAGTCTTTTATTCTCACGCGTTCATATAATGATTAGTTTTAATCTTTTTTTTCCACGAGAATCACACTGAAGGTATTTTCTTTCAATTAGCGCAATTTCATATGTTTATTATTACAAAATGGTGTCATAAGAAACAAGATTGAAGCAATTTCAGAACCATCATTTCTTGAAAACCATTTTTTTTATTTTTCTTATTCACTTTATACCTCTTGTAACTTCATCCGGATTTGTGCAATTAAATAAGTAAATACGGAAATTGATGAAAAATGGCACTTTTTCATAGAGTTCCCGAACATCAGATTTGGGTGTGAGATTGATTTGCTGTATAGAATAACAAACAAAATCATAAGAAGGAACTCGATTTTTTTTCACACGTTCCAATTCATTGCACTTTGAAAAGAAATGAAACTTTATCCTTACACTTTTCAAGAATTTTGTAAACAACATCGGCATCACTAGCCCCATAAGCACGAAAAGAAGTAATAACACACAAGTACTGAGTATTGCAATTGTGAGATAATTCCACTTTTTCACCGTACGTGGAAGTTCCATCGTTGGATTCATATTGCACAGATTTTTCTTTATTTTAAATTTGATCAAATTTAAGTTTGAAGAAATATTAATTGGCAACCGTTTTAAAGGATTTTGTCACAAATTCAATAGAATATTTTAAATCAAGTCGATTTTGGTATATTCACAATTTCTATTTTATTTTATTTTTTTAAATTTTCAATAAGTGATCATCTTGTTTGTTCGAAAGTGAAAATTTCTCTAAGTCGAAAAAAAGAGATTTGATTTTCAAAAGATTTTTGATTAAACTGTTTAATGTTGATTAAGCCGTCCGAACGGAATGAATGCGAAACTAAAACTGATGGGAATATTCATTTGTCGTAATCAGGATACTGTCCGATGGACACGGTATGACTCGTTGTTTATGAATAGATAATTATATGCTTTTTTAAAACGATGATGTGCATTTTCAAACGAGAGAGTACGACACAAGCGAGTATGCGACACAGGATTCGCTCGCGACCCATATCGATGTTTATGTATGTGTGTACAAACGAAAAGGAACTTCGGATAAGACATGTTCGATGTTAAGTTTGGCTCGTTTGCTCCAATCAATCGTCACCATTTATCCATTTTACACGGAGAAAAAATACACGCGCCACAAACATTTCGTTGAAATGTACATTTTTTGCACTTGTACGCGTTACCATTTCCTATACTCGTATCCATGTTACACGTAATCAATCATTCGTAGAAAAAATCCACTAAAATATCGATAGACACATTTCTGATGTGTTGATCCGTATAAAATATTGACGGTAGAAAAACCGCACATTTCCTCCGTTGCGTTTGGTAGTCGAATGTGTTATTTGGTTTTGAAAAATTTATCGATTGTTTTGTTCAGCACTGGTTGAGACCGGCCATACTTTCTCTGGAGGCAAAAAATTAGATTGACAGCAGATCAGGCTAACTGAAAGACAAGTATGCTAATGTGTAACATGTTAATTCTCTTCTGAATCAAAAATTCAGATTCTACAACTGGGAATTAAAATTGCAGCTTAGAAAAATGTCACTTGCCACTTGCATAATTCATTTTTTTCTACTGATTGAAATCGAACCGTTTTTCATCTACATTACGTACATGGGTGAGTAGATAGAAGAAACAAGTTCCGTTTAAAACCTTGAGCAAAAGAAAAAATCCAAGTCGAATGTAAGAAAACGTTTAATTGATAAAACAAAACGAACGAAGAACATAAAAAAAGCAATAAAATCAAAAATTAAACGCACACTATGTTTGATTGATGGTCTGCAAAGTTCCGCCTTTCGATTCTCGCGATACGTCGTGCGGAAAATTATACATGGTGCCGTGAACTGTGCCGCTGCTGTTTGTAAATATTTCAAAATCCCGTTGTATCATGCTTCTAACAATTGCAAAACGCAGAAAAATAGAAAAACAACACAGTAGCCAGATTTGATCGATACAATTATTGGTAGATTTGTAAGCCTGTAATTATTGAAATGTTCCTCATCATTTTGCTTTCGTTTGGAAATATAAAGTGTCATCATTCTCTACCCCCCTGTTCGAATCGACTGCATACTTGCTTTTCGATTCAGCTGATTGCAATAGATCGATTGCAGTGATAACATGTAATTAGTTGCACTTCTGTGTACACCTTTTCCTTAAAACAAAACAACGACGGTTCATGAACGAAATGTCAAGAATCGTCAGCCGTACGTCATTGCATTGGAATGATGATTGCTTGCCACAAATGCGACCGCAATAGCAAAATCCACATAACATTAGAACAAAAGTGTAAAAAAAAGACAAATCTCTTGAATAATTTTCTTAGATTTTAATCATTTTATTTCAACTTTTGCTTTTGTGTTTCATCTAGATAGTTGAAACAGAATGGCTTTAACATCAATCGGTCGTTTTCGAAAAAAAATCGTTGTAAAATCTCCAATCTCATTCCTTTTAATTTCATCAAGTCAATTAATTCGTACAAAATAGAATGTTACGTCGGTACTTGTTTTTCTTTGTTGTTCAGTTGATTTTTGCATTTCCTTGTCATGGTGTTACAAATCGTTCTACCATTTTTTTCGGTGTGGTTGTTCATTATCATTGAGTATATAAAAAACGCGTTTAAATAGTAATATAGTTTGAACTTTTAAGGCGGATAATTTTTCGCTTTTTTTCTCGTTCTGTTAAGTAGTTCGGGTTGTCGTTGGAAAATTAGCGTCGTTTGTAGTGATGTATAGCCACAATCGGTGCATGCGAAATGACATGGTGTGAAACGATTGGAGTGTGTATGGCGTGCGCGGCAACATATGGATGATGAATTATTGGTGCTGAATGGTGGATAATTGGGGCAGCATGATGTACAATGACTGGACTGTGATAAACATATGGCGATGAGTACGTGTGAAAATGAATGCCACGCTTTTCTTTCGCTGATCCCTCTGCATTCGTGGCTGATTTGTCATCGGTCAATTTTTCGGCAACATCAGCACTGGTTGCCGACACAAAAATCGCTAGCAACACAATTCCACACTGTGAGAGAGTAAAAAACAAAAACACAAAACCAGAAAAAATGATGAAAAAACAAATTGTTGCAAAGATTCAACATGAGCATGTTTGAAAGAAGAACTCAAATGCACTTACGAAGAATTTCATGTTTAAAATTTAATTGACTTTGGCACTTAATCGCCCGAACTGTAATCCAACACCGCTTAGAAACTAATATGAAGTCGAATGGTCGCAGCAGCCGCTTAAATAGTCAGCACCGAAGTTGCATTCGCGAGAGGAGATAAACATAAAAACAAAAACATGCCAACCAAGGTGCTTGTGTTATGGTGCTTAAATTCTTTTTTTTTCGTCTCAAATCTCCATTTAGCTAATTTTAAATGAATAATTTATTTGTTTACGAAATGCCACACAAAAATGCGTCAATGCGTTCGCATTTATTTGCACAACGTGCATTTTTACGCGTATCGTTTTCGACGAATTGAACGAAGTACAGTATCTGCATCACACACACGAAGTATCTGCATAGTGCATACGGTCGGAGCGATACAAGTTATGCTGAACCTCACCATAAATGGCGCTCACACCGAAGTCACACAGAGACTTTGAACCAAAATCAAATTGCACTAATGGTGTCACACACATTCAAAGTCACTTAAATTGATCGGCTATGATTTGTCTGATCATTTTTGGGGAAAAAACGACTTTTCGAGAGCGACGTGAGTACAAATGACCACGAATACGAGAAAAACAAGAGCAAACAAACAAGAACCAAGTGAGAGATTGAGTGTCGCCATCAATTTCCAAAATTAAAAGCATGAAAAAATACCACGAAAAATTATACCGCGTATCAGTTTGTTGTGTCTCAATCAGTAACGCTTTCCGTTTGCAATTTAGACCAATTTTAGGCATACTTTTTCTGTGTGTGTAAAAGCCGGTTATAAGCGGTACGACTCAATTATTCAATCGATACATGATTGGCAAACCATTTCAAAACATTTGCACAAATAAATGTTTCATCTCGGAATTGCAATCGAAATGAAATAAATTGCAAGTTCACAATCGGTTGTAACAAGTAAATATTTATGGACTGTGCAAGCGATTGGATGATTGTTGCCGGTCTATGACTTTACTACGCACTGCTCACAGCATGTAACCAGTTTTCTGGTTTGCGTCGCGTCGTCATACCGCTAACTCTACTGCAGTGCGACAATACTGCTGATCGATTTGCATTACTACACAAAAACAATTTTTTTCTCTATCCATTATGTCTCTTTTAATTAAAAACAGATTTAGATAATTCTATTGGCGACAATTATTATTATGTAATTTCGGTGCGCGAAATACGTAATTTGCATAGTTTGTAGGTTTTTTTTCTCTTCGCAAATTTGGGGTTGGTTTTTTGATCATATAATCCAAGGCCGGCCACTCAAAAAACAATTTAATATTGTTTCTTTTCTCGATCTATCCTTAAACGTTCAGAAGCACTAGAATGTGCCGCTCTAAATCTGGCGCACTGAAACCGTGATTTCTTCGTAAATACACTTTAAATATTTTCAATCGATTGAATCAATGCAGTTCACTTTATCGAGGCGCATATTTGTTTGTGTGCATTTATGAAGATTTGACATTGACCCATTTGTTGTGTAGTAGAACCGTAGAACCGCAGCACTTGAACAATACACCGCACATGCATTTTTCGGTGTCGAACGAAACAATCACTCATATTTCAACAAGTGGAAAGAATGTAAGATACTCGGTTGGCATGAAACAGAAAAACATATTAAACAAATCGATAACAAAAAAGATTGACAAAATCAACAATAAAACGAAGAGAGCGTCATTTTGTTTGCGCTAATATTAAGAGCAGCGAGAATGAACACAAATCAGAGAATTGCATTGACTCTTTTCTAATGTTTTTTTTTTTAAATTTACAAATACTTAAAATCCACAAGTTAAAGCAAATAGAAATACATGAAAAATATAACACACGTCAAAATCAATCTCAGCACCTCATGCAAGTCAATAAGAACTAAAGGGTGTTTCAATAGCGACGCACAAAAGTATTGATAAATAAAACAAACAAATTTAATTTTTTCCGAAATCTTTATTGTATATTGTAGTTTGGTCTTTGCCATTCATGTTTTGAACTGAGTATGGTTAAAAAAGTCTGTGTGGCGCCTTTTATTAGTAGCCTCTTTTGGAGGCCAAATTTCACTTTCATTTTTGTAAAAACGTCTCAATTAATGCTATTAAAACCAATAAATCTGGGTTTACACATCTCAAAACTCAGCTACGGTACTCGCAATAAACATATCTTTCACAGAACAGTAAAAACAATGAAAAACTGGACGTTTTGATAAATTTGAGGATTGAGTGACCAACCTACGCATTTGGCGCCCAAAATATATGACATTTCTGAAGCTCGATTCTGATTAAATTGTTTTTTAACGATTTTTTAAAGTCATATCATTGTTGAATGGAGTTGTCTATACAATCAATGCCCCTAGCTGTTATTTTAAAGTATAAAAATCAATAATTGTCACAATCATTTTTGCAAAGTTGGCCAAAGTTGGCTATATCTTGAAAACGGTGCGGAATTCTGCTCTGGTTGTTGGGGCGAACTTTTGGCTCAAGTTGAGATAAAAACTGTTAAAAATAAATAAAACGAAAAAAATTGGATTTCGAGAGGTAAAAAGCGAGATTCTCACATGACATTTTGAGTTTTTGTAAATTCAAAAATGGACCTATTTTCGTGATGGGATTTCACAATTTTAACGCGTTGCTTTTTGAAATATCTCTTCATGGCACAAAATGGCATAGCCTGGCTTCAGGCCGCCACTATTGTGGCGCTCGTTGCGGTAGCCTCGGTAAGTAGCTTCGTTGCCAATGGTTGTCAACAACCCTATCGGGAGACTGGCACATTCGAAATTGTGCCATTTTCAACATAGCCAATTGAGCGAGAACAAGAGGTATAACATACAATAACATAGAATCAGCGCATTGGACGAGCTAATTATTTGGTTCAAGAAATGCGGATAAATGAAACATGCAAAATGAATGCCGTATGATTGAACATTTATTTTGTTTAAAAAAAAAAAAATTTGTGTTTTTTTAATAATAAAATCAAATAAAATGAAAATGTGCATGTTACACCAACACAAAATCAAAAAAGATGAGGTTATGTTTGAAATGACTCGTCATGATACACACAATGGCACATTTGAGAATGTGCCACACTCTCGATAGGGATCATACAAATGTCAAACGTAGTCAGCTTGTCAATTACAACCGGGGCCTGCAAAATGGTAAAGATTGACGAATAATTTTGACGTATTAGTTTGACAGATCGGGTAGCCTGTCATGATTTACGATAGGGTTACTTTTGTGCGTCGTTATTGAAACACCCTTTAAAAAGCAAACCGCAATTAATAAAACCTAAACAATCAAAACCATCATTGTACAAGAAATTGTTGGCTTCGATAGATGGATCTTAGAAATAAAGAAGCTGTCGGCACTATTGTAATATTACGAATGACCATGGTCATTTTACATGCATGTAAATGTGTCGGTGAGAATAAAAATGGGAATACAGAAGCGTTCGAACTGAAGCGCAACATGATTTTTTTTCTCAAAAACGCAACATGAATCGTCGCTTCAATAGAAGCGTAACATGAGGAATGTGAATATTGAATGTAGTTTTTTGTGTTTTTCGCCAATGAAGAATTGATTTTGAGCTTTGGCTACAAATTCATCATATGAAATAGGAAAAATTGGGCGCACATGTAAAAACCATTAGTAAGACTTGGGTTTCCATATTTTATAACGTTTTATGGGGTTTTAATTGAGGTTTCCCCATCATAATTGTCCTCTATGGACCAAAAGAAATTAAAATTTATATAAATAAATAAAAATAACAACAAGCAATCCTTCGACGACGGATCATAAAGTTGACATCAACCCAATTTTCGAGAATTCTAGAAAATGCTAGAAATTTATTCTTTTCCCAACAATGTGCTTGATAAGTGACGTGTCCCGTTTCGAAAAATACCGATACGAATATTGGCCAGCGTGTGCCTTACTCACACAGAAGTACTTTCACAACATGCACGACTTGTATTGGTAATTTGACAGATCACCACCATTACTATTGGTGAGCATAGTGATATTATATGTATTGTATCGGCTCTGCTGTGCGATATTATAACCAATACTTCTTTGTGTTACTAAGTAGTAATACAATACATATAATATCACTATGCTCACCAATATTAATGGTGGTGATCTGTCAAATTACCAATACAAGTCGTGCATGTTGTAAAAGTACTTCTGAGTGAGTAGTCACATACATATGCTCAAGTATTTCAATTAATATTGCAGCTGCAATGCCATACGAATATGAGCACGTTGAATCAGGGACAAAATGAAAAATTCAAAAGCCATAGAACTTCTTTCAATAATTTTATTTCCACTATTTTCCACGCATTTTCATTTGAATTTCATTAAGGCAGATAGTTTTATACGGTATCAATATATAACAATAAAATATCAAATAAAACTTTTACAAACCAAATTGTCAACTTGACCAAAGAAACAAGCCTCATGGGCTGATATCCGATTCCATTTGTTTATTCAGTTCATTTTTATGGAATTTTCAACCCATTTTTCATTTCCATTTAGATTTACACCGTTTAAAGTCAGTTTAAAAAGTGTTAGTTTTTCTTCGCTTTGATTTTCCACTCAAGCCATTTGACCTGTTTCTCTTTGATAACATTGTTTAGACTTTAACGAATATGGAATATGTGAATGTCGCCCAAATATTGGCAAAATCAAACCGAATTTTGAAACTGAACTAACTAACCAAAGCAAATCAAATATCAGTCCATATATTTAAATGGATTCGTTTGACAAAAAACCTGATTTCTGCCCAGAAATAATAATTCCTGCCTCTGGTGGGATCACCACCTTTTTCGTATCAACGATATCACTGCGGAACGCAAATAAACAAATAATAAGCATTGATTTTTTGCTGAACGACATATTCGAAAACGAAACAATTACCCAATTACAAGGATTTCCGAGTGAATTGATGCAGCGACCACTTTCATTTGCCGCGGCAATTGTCGGAAGTAATGGTTTAATTCAACGGGTCTATAGGCTGTGCCCAAATTCAACAAAACCACTATGATATCGGCGTCATCCTGGCCGTCAATTTCTCTTTTGTACACAAGCACATCTTTGTTGACTGCATTGATTTTCAATCCCCCATATTTTATAGTTGGATTTTGTCTAAAAGAGTTAACGAACGGTGAAATTTGGCGAAGAAGCATTATTTGTGACTCGTTGTAATGAATTGATAACAATAAACACAAACCTCAACGCCATCAACTGACGGAACACTTTTAAATGGCTGAGAATTTCCGATTTTTGCAGTTGAACATTGTTATCCGTGTGATTATTCGCAACTGGTAGCCATGTGCTGTTGGCAAAGCTAAAACCGGCATTTTTATCGTCATTCCATTGGAATGGCGTACGCGCCGGATCACGCGAAAATTGATCGAAAACTTGTTCATTGGTGCGACATGCTTGCGGGTCAACGGTGTTTTCCCATGATATATAGACATCGGTCATTCCAATCTCTTCACCCTGCCATTCAACGAAACGAAAACTTTGAGACATTGAAGAACGATTTTTTACCAAATTATATTTGCAATTTCATTATTAGTATCGTCAGTTGCATTATTTACCATATAAGTGACGGTGATACCAGGTAAGGTTTTTAACAACATGTTGAAGAGGTCAGTACGTGCTGGCCGATAACGCGAAGCCAATCGCTTATTATCATGATTGCCAAGCTGACGAATTATCGATTTGAATCGAATGAAAATAACATTTTGAATTTATTTGATGCGTATTGAGAGCGAAAACGATTTTGCATTGTGAATAATTCAAAGAAAAAGAAATAATTAGAGGTTAGCTTTGATGAAAAATGCTTACCACCCAATTGGCGTGAATTTTGTTACCCTTCGGCATGCCATTGAGCCAATGTTCAATGTGCGCTTTGTATTCGTAGGCCGTAGTGCCCATGCTTGTCTTTGATATCAGCTCAAAATTAAATGGAATATGTGCACCATACACGGCTATTTCTCCATTTTCAACTTTACCATAGAACCGTAGTGTGTTTGGTAGTGTTGTATATGCCTCTGACATTAGAATGCTGCCATGAAATGACCAAAACCATTTATTCCATCAAATCGAATTGTATTCAATTATCTCTAATTACCGTGTTTCACTGGCAAACTCTTCTTCTTCGGTCACTTTGCGGAATTGATAGATCACGTCATAGGTTTCATCCAAATCTTGCGTTTTTGTGTGCTTGAGCCGACAATATGCGTCCGGGTCATCGTCACAGTCCCCACTCAATGGTTCATCGTCATAGAATCCTTCGGAATTCTGTTCAGCTTCAAATAAATAAGGAACCGCATCGCATCTATTCTTACGATATGCGTCAAATAGAACAAATGGTTTAGTGAGTAGGAACAATCACTGAGCGTTTATTTCAATGTTCATTACCTGAATCCGCTCACGCCTTTTCTCAACCAGAATCGCAAAATTTCTTTCATATCATTGACAAGCGCCTCGTTGCGATAGTTCTTTGGTTAGGAAAATTGAAAAAAAAGACAAATCATGCATGACCGGTTACCACTTTGGTTTTTCTTTATTTGATCAGTTTTTCTATTGACATTTTCTTACCAAATCGGGTTGTTCAGCAAGAAATTGATGATAATAGTAAGCTTTTCTGCTTTCAACCCATTGCCATGCACTGCCACGGAAAATACTAAGCCAGTTGCTTGGCGGAATTCTCGTCCCATTTTCCAATAACCGTCCTTCGTGCCAAATGTAGTAATCTTTGTATTTCTCATGCTCGGGATCACTTGGATCAGCCGATTTTCGGAACCATTCATGTTTGTCGGAGCTGTGATTTGGTACAAAGTCAAGAATCAACTTGACATCCAACTCTTTGCTTCGCTCGACCAAACGATCGAATTCATCAAGAGTCCCGAATCCGGTATGAATTTGTCGAAAATCGGAGATATCGTAGCCGAAATCTTTCATCGGCGATTTGAAAATCGGCGACAACCACATGCCAGTCACACCGATGAATTTTAAATACGGCAATCTCGACGTGATTCCATGCAAGTCACCGACACCATCACCATCGCTGTCTTGAAATGAACGCGGATAAATTTGGTAGAAATGGCCATATTCCCACCAATCATCGTCGGCCAAAACCTGACTCGTGAACCCCAAACAAATCACAAGCACTAATATTAAGCACAAAATTTTCCCCATTTCACAACGTAATTAATGGCTAAACACCTTAGAAACAGTTTTCTATCACTTTCAAATGGAGTTGATAATTTCAAAGGGAATTTTCGATGTGTATAAAATTATAGGTGCGACTGAATAGTTTCAAAACACACTGGTACTATTTATAGGGAATTCACAGTGTTCGGGAATGAATGTAATTATGAATCGATTTTTCGGACTACTCATCCGGTGTACAACACAAAAAAGATAAGATGAATAGATAGCCACAATAAAAGACAATGTGCGCCTATTTACATATGGTTAGCGGAAAAAAAATTGTACTTGGCACGGTAGTTTTTACTTTTCGACACGACCATGTCGTGTAAGAAAAGTATTGGGATCGCCCCAGATTTTTTGACCCACTAAAAAGCAGTTTTTTTTCGATTTTCAAACGCCGAAAATCGCGAATTCTAGCCTTATTTATGGTATGTAGGGAAGGCGCGTGGTACACTATACGCTGTACGCAAAAACACGGTAAGAATTCTGCTATGTCACAATGTATGAAAAACAGAGTATTGAATTCGCTCTGATATTAAGGTCGGATTAAAATATGATGCTTTCCTTATTTAAATGCATGGAGAATTGGATTTAATTGGAAATTATATGTTTGGGAGTGTAGAAAAGTTAACCTTACGAATGTAAGGCATCTTGTTTTTTTATGTAATTGATTGATTAACACGATAGCAAACACCTTTTCTAATGCCGTTTGTCAAATCGCCACAGTAAATCTCTGTTTGTAAACACAGGACACTGAACTGATAGCAAACAGCGTTGAACACAGAAAAATCACCGCACATGAAGATGCAATGCGTTCGCGTTAAGAATTACGTCAATTTTTGTTTTTCGCTGTTATTGCGAATCGGAAAGATCACACAATTTATGTTCTTAATTATAAACAATTTGATGTGGGTAATCGAACAAATTTGCTGAATGGAAATGTTGTCGTTTATTTTGCAAAAATGAGCGCGTCCAACGTAAATGTTTACTGAATGTTCGCAATAATGATCATTAAGAGCAATTGAAAAATGAGCTTATCTCGTCAAGCGACGAATCCAACTCGTTTTTTCTTTCGTTCGATCAAAATCCAAATCGCAAGAAATGAAATCGTTTTTGTTTTGATGTGTTGTTGCTTTCGACGATGAGAATTATAAATGATATGGGGCGCCAAATTCACGTACAGATTTTGAAAACATGCCGTCCATACATATCAACTTTGTCGTCATTTGCTTTGTACGTCTATTTCAAAATGTAAAAGCGTCGAAATCAGATCGATAATAAGCCATTTGACACATTAAACTCATATTTGCCAACTAGACCTTTGCAGGAAATGTGTGGTGAATTTTTAATAATGCTAAATGATTCAATGATGACAGCCGTCATTACTGCCATTTTGATACCTGATTAAGTGAAGAGAATATGTGTACGTGGAGTGGAATCGGAACACTGGAGTACATTTCGAATAATTGCTGTAATAACAAGTCACGGTTGAGTTCCATGTTATTTTTAGTTTATTTTGTTCGTGCCAACAAGTAAATTTGATATGAAATCAAGCAATGCTAAATGAAAAAAGATTTAAAGAAAAAAGCTTTGCTTTTTTGGATAGTAAAAAAGATACGTATAGAAAAATGTTGACATTGAAACGAACAAAATGATTTGATCAAGGTTGAATTGTGTTATGATTGATGGCGTAAAAATTACTATAAAAATGAATTGCCCATTGTCTATTCAGACATTACTGAAAAGACGAATGAAAATGCAAACAAATAATTGTGAAATTTCATTCAAACAAAAGTGCAACTTTATATGGAGCGAGGGAAAAAATACATTTAGACTAACATAACAAACGTTTGTTGAAAAAGAAAGCGTTTCGAGTAAATTCGATCACACTTGCAACTACCTCATGATTTGTTTGGTTGACAAACATACTTCACGCCGTTTCTTAGATACCGTACGCGAATCGATAGTACGTTTATTAATAAATTGACTGGCCTGTTTATTGAAAATTGTGATAGGTATGAATTCAATTGAATTTAAATTATTCAACAACGACATTTCCAGACCATACAAATGGATTACGTGTTCAAAGGAAAAATCGATAATTTTTCACAGAAAAAATGAAAACAAATAGAAAATGTTGATTAGGATTGGAATGAAAATCAATTGTTAGAAGAGTTAATTTGGCTTCACAAATGTAATTTATGAAACTTTTTATTTCTGCTTGTTTGTTTATTTAACAAAAATTTGCACTTGAAAAAGTGCTATGCAATCAATGAGTGTCCATTGGGGTCATCAATTTATTCCGACGAGCACAAGACCGACCTCGGCAGGTGACAAAACTCATACAAAACTCACATCAAACTCGTATCAACTTCCAAAAAATTGCACCTTCTCAAATACACAAAAAATACATGTCTGAACATGTGAATATAATTTTGTAAACATTTCTAACTGATTAAAAAGCATGGAGGCGACATCCAGAATTTGGCGTTTAGCGCCGGTGTACTTCGTAGTGGAAAAAAAAGTAAAGCTTGCTTGTCACCAATATCAATCACCGTTTATGCGTTATTTCGCCCACTTTATTCACTGGAAATATAAAGTTCTTCAATTTCTAGCAAATTTTACATATGAATTCATAAACATATCGAGAAAACACAATGAATTCATAAACACATCGAGAAAACACAACTTTTTTTGACATAAAAAGCAAAAGCAAAAGCAATATGATTTTTTTCGATTCATCGATTATTTGCAACGCATCTTTTTTTTTCATCGAAAGTCCAACTGAATACGATGTTTTGTATTGATTAGATAATTCTATTTTGATCACAAAACATTTTTTTATTATTTTCTTGAGATGGCAATTGTGCGTGCTTTGATGATAAACAACATAAACGATAGCACAAACACTAATTACGTCAAACGTGATATGGCTGTAGCTCTGATAGATCCCATAATGGATTATGGAAATGTGGTAACATACGGCTGGGGCGCCCATAGCACCCAAAACCAGGTGCACCGTGATCTTGTTGCTGATAACGACAAGATTCGATATATTTACGGATTAAAACGTAATGATCATTTTACTGAATATCGTGAGCGTTTGAGTGGATTGACTCCTGCTCAATGAAGCAGCGGACTTGTCGGCATACTCGTGGATTCAGCATTTCGGTTACGTACAAATAGAGAGCGCAGAGTTTGTGTGTAGTCGATGTAGCTGTGCGCATCGACGCACGCCACTTATACAGTGACTTGCGTCGTCGATATGCTCGGATATATCCGCTGTATGCAAAATGCTGAGATTCTAAACCATCCGAAAACGTATATTTGTCCAGAAATAACATTCAACATTCAAGAGGGGTTCAAAGCATTACGACGCCAATTTGATAACGGTTCAAGTGCACAAACCTTGAAAATTTCTAAGCTGTTTATTGCGTTTATTATGCTGCGTAATAAACGCTGAAATCAATTTAGAAATCTTCAAGGTTTGTGCACTTGAACCATTATCATTTCTGGACAACAGCAACAGCAAGAGAAAAAGTGAAAGAATGTTTTTCTGAATCTGGAATTCTGTGAAATTAACAAGAAACGCCGTTTCTAACGCTGCCGTTTCTGAAGAATATCCGTACAGAAATAGCGTTTGAATGTTTTTCAAAAGCGTGATGGGATAACGCATGGCACAAATGGAAACGTAAAAATAATTTTGCATGAAAAATCAATATTTTCAATTATGGTCATCAAAATCTCTCTTTCTTTCCATGTCAAAAGACACGAACATGATTTTTCATTTTTTACCGCTTCTCTTTGTTCGCTCTATCTTTCTCTCCATCATCGATAGTTGATATTATAATGACAAACAAAATTTTAAGAAAAAGTCTCCATTTGTACAGAATTCGCATTAGAATGGAGACGGCTTTTCAAAGTTTTGTGTGTAATTATAAACTATGTAACTCACTGTATGTTAATTTTTAAATTTGCCCATGATTTCTTTCTATACACTTTTCTTTTGTTGTCCTGCGGTATCGCATCATCCTTCTGGAAAACATTCAAACGCAACATTCGAAGCATCATTTTCACGGAATTTTGATTTGAATATAATGTTCTTTCATTTGTTCTCGCAGAAATTATCTAATTTCTATCGGCGTATCGATTGAACCTACGTGAGAAGTCGCTACGTATTTCGGCTGATATTGCCCTGCAATGACATTCAAACGCAATTTGGCGCTGATTTGATAATGGTTCAAGTGCGAAAGCTTTGAAGATTTCTAAACTGATTTTCGCGTTAATTACGCATAAAGACTATCGAAGTATCGTAAATAGCACATACACTTCGGAGATTGCAAACAATTTACGTCATTAAATCATCCTATGCACTCAACAGGTGTCATGCGATTGGGCCAAATTTAAGTCAGAACTTTGCGTAATGGCTTTCTGCATTCGGTATAAATGGCTAGGCGTGATTTGAAGCAATTCAGTCGTTCCGCTTGTTTTGAGCGAATCAAACATTCAGTATTTGAATAAGGCTCTTTGAAAGAAGGCGATTTATATCCAGTGTTGAACGGCGTAGTGTGTACTCTTATTGCTGAATAATTGAAACGTCAGAATGGCCAAAGTTCTGCCAATTCTCTTGATAGTCGTTTGTGCGATTGTCGGCAAAGTGACTGCAGTCGATGACTGGTGGGAGTACGGTCACTTCTATCAAGTGTATCCACGCTCGTTTCAGGACAGCGACGGCGATGGCATTGGAGACATTAAGGGGATAACCATGAGATTGCCATTTTTGAAGAGCATCAACGTGACTGGCATTTGGTTGTCGCCGATTTTCAAATCGCCAATGAAAGATTTCGGGTATGACATCTCGGATTTTCGAGAAATTCAACCGGAATACGGAACAATGGAAGACTTCGAAGAGCTGCTTGCACGCGGCCGAGAATTAGACATCAAAATCATTTTGGACTTCGTACCGAATCATTGTTCCGATCAGCACGAATGGTTTCAAAGAGCGCTCAACAAAAGTGATCCTGAACACCAAAAATATAAGAACTATTTCATCTGGAACGAGGGCAAACCGGGAAGGGATGGAAAGAAATTGCCGCCAAGCAATTGGCTCAGCATTTTCCGGGGCAGTGCATGGGAATGGGTTGACGATTTACAAGCGTTTTACTTGCATCAATTCTTGGAAGAGCAACCAGATTTGGTAAGATATTGTCAATAAATGTAAACGGCGAGACGTTCATAATCAATTTGTTTTTATTTACTGTTTTTCAACCAAAGAACTTCCGAAATTCAAAAGTTGTAGAAGAGCTGAACGAAGTGTTGCGATTTTGGTTGAGAAAGGGCGTCGATGGCTTTAGAATTGACGCAGTCCCTTTCATTTTTGAAAGCAAAGAAAAAGCTGATGGATACTATGACGATGAACCACGCAGCGGTGAATGTAATGACGATCCATTGGTGAGTGAATTCGGATTTGATAGAATCAATTCGATGAAATAAATAGTTCGAAGATGATATATGATAATTGCTGTTTTCATAGGCCTCGTGCTATTTGAACCATACTGAAACGAAAGACCAAGACGAGACATATGACATGCTCTATCAATGGCGAAGAGTGATGGAAGAGCCCGAATTTGATGGTCACACTCGGTAAGTCCACTGAAAACGGTTTTTGGGAATGAATCAAACTGATTGGGTGCATTCGATAGCATTTTGATGGCAGAAGGATACACGTCGGTGGTAAACACATTGAGATACTACGGTAGAATTGAAAATGGGGAAATTGTGGAAAATGGTACACAGATTCCATTCAACTTCTTGTTGCTGTCAAACACGTGGATGAGCACGGGAACCTACGGATTCATTCAAAACATTCTAGACTGGGTCAACAATCTACCAGAAGGTGCACAGGCCAATTGGGTTGTAAGTTAATCTCTCACCTTTTTGTTGCTTTCTATACATTTCAATCAGAGACTCGTCCCTTTTTATACTATATCGATTTATTTTCGTTCTAGTTGGGAAATCACGACAACAAACGCATTGCTACGAGGTACAAGCCATCACGTACTGACTTGTTCAACATTCTGTTGAAAACTTTGCCCGGAGTTACAGTTACATATTACGTAATTATCTCGTTCATGTTTAAATCCGTTTTAATTATCAATACATAGAATGAAACTAGCAACATTTTAATTCCAGGGCGAGGAAATCGGAATGACGAATGTGTTTGTTTCATGGGAAGATACCGTGGATCCACAAGCAATTCGCACAAGTCGGGAATCTTACGAATGGTTCTCTCGCGATCCCGAGCGTACACCATACCAATGGAACTCATCTACAAACGCTGGATTCAGTTCGGCGAATAAGACATGGCTGCCCATAGCACCGAACTACACTGAATGTAATTTTGCACTGCAATCGCGGCAAGAGCGAAGTTTCTTGAAGAACTTCCGAGATTTGATGTTTTTGAGAAACAACAGTCCCGCAATGAAATATGGTGGATTGCAAATAGTTCCAGTCGATACCGAAGTCATGGTGTACAAGAGATCAATCGCAAAGGATCCCAATGCAGACATTATCGTTGTTATACTAAACTTGGAGGGAAATACGAAGACAATCGACTTGAATGCTCATCTTGATGCTTTGCCGAAAGAAATGACAGTTGCCGTCGCGTCGATTCATTCAGAGGAGTTAGTAAAAGGGTAAATCTACATTTTCAATTGTGTACAACGTACGATTCAATATTTTAATATTGTCTTTCATATTTGCAGACAAACCGTTTATACAAGCGCAGTCAAAGTGACACCGGATGTTGGTATCGTTCTCATTGACAAAAAAACAACTAGTCCCAAACCAAGTTTCAAACCAGATTCCGATTCAGACCATGAAACAGAGGCTGAACCAGTGTCCGCGCCTTCTTTTGTAAATAGAACCAAGAAATTCTTCAGAAACTTAGTCAAAACGGTGAAAAAAATCTTTTCAAAAGTTTGGTTATAAAATAGACCTAGTGAAATGAACCTCTTTAAAAATGTATATATATTACGTCAATAATATATCAAGTGAAACAATGAGCATCACTGTACATAATCGATGAGCAAGTGATATGATACAGTGGGTCATTGACACAACGAGAATTTAGCAAGGTAAAAACGTACGGTTTCACATATACCATATGAATGGTCACTTGTACATACATCTATCGGTAGATACTTATAAATAATTCATTGATGACGTTTTAATGAATCGCAATCAAAATAGATTCGAAAAATACAAAATGCATTTTGAGTTTATTGATCCGAAATCACAAAACTTAGATATTCCAATGGCACGAAAATTGGACTTTTTAAATATTAATTTGAACAGAAAATGTCAACAAAATGCTTCATTGCATAACAAGAAGTAGTAGCAAAGTAATAATTCTATCAAACGGCGTTTTGTCTTTGGTCATTTGAAAATGCAGTTACGTCGCAAAATGTAATAGAAGCAATAAAGTTCAAGCAAATTTACTTCTAACTGGTTGAAGTTTCCCCCTCATTATCGATTCAAAATTAAACTAAGTGAGCAACTAATGGTTTTGATTCAAGTGCATAGCCATTCGACTTATTTATCCTCGTACATTTGTTCGTTATTGACCATCGCAATAAATGTTTCACCATAGATTGTCCCATTTTAGCCATTTCGAATACCGTGTTGCTGGTCACAATTTTCGTAAAGTCGAGAACTAATACACTATTTACAATGATTAAAGACAGAGGAAGAAGCATTCCATAAATTTGCTGGAGTAATATTATGGCGTAAACGAGTTGAAATTTTCCAAACATAAAAATTCCACTCACTTCAATTGATATGAATTTTTTTTTCGATTCAAGCACAATTACTGTTCAAAAGATTTGATTTGAATTTAAAATGTCGTCTTTTGTCAAAATTCCAGCATCCGGTTGGAAAATCATGGAAAATATTATAGTGAACGCAATTCAATCCGGTCAAAACAACAGCAAAGCCGGTTGGAAAATGTGCACATCTCATGGCATACGCATCTTGCAGCATTTACTGTACCAAAATCAAAGCTCAGCCAAAAGATGACGCTTTGCGTGATAGTGCGCAATCTCAATTGCAGCACTCGATGACACTTGGTACATAGTCATTCAAGATGTCTCAATCGATTTTTCCGTAGAACAGTCGAAAAAAGAACGTTTCCGAAAGTGCTAGAGCAAAGCTGACATTAGCTTTCTGTGTATACAATTTTTTCGAAATGCTTGTAAATAGTGAGTGGTGATTGTCCCGAAATTGCGGTAAATTAATTTTTCAACATTTTTCGGATGCAAACAAATAGAAATAAAGTGTTTGTGTGTGATTTTAATTGGATATTGTGATGAATATGAAAATATCAGAATAACATTGCTATCTCTGCATTGCAGTGTTGCCTAGCCCACTTAACGCTTCCGCCCTAAATTTTCAATTACCCTCTTTTAGATTGATTCAATGGATAAAACTTGTTCCGATATTAATTTCAATAGAAAATTGAGTTGAATTGTTATGAAATTATCAAAAAGTATCGTAAAAATGGTGGATTTTACTTTAGGGTGTAGTAAGCTTGTGTGTCATTTGGACTCAAATAATTTCATTTGTTCGCTTGGAATCGGCAAAATTCAATGCAAAATGGCAATTGATGCAACAAAAATAGAAAATTCATTCATTTTCATACAAAAATTCTACATTCGTCTAATTTTCCGCATAAATTGTAAGTTATTAAGTTGCGACGAATGCGAAAAAAAGAAGAAGAAGAAGTCAGACAGGGAAAAAAATAAATATGGAGCATCCCATCGTTGAAGTTGACAGATGAAAGTTCGTCTTGTCATTTTGCTTTTCCGCTGGAAAGATAAACTGTCGCAATTTTTTCCTGGGAAGATTATCTGGAAAATGAGATGTGTCAAAGTTATCCTCTCCGCAGCCCATAAGCACGTGCTGGATGCTGCTTGTTGATAAACAATATGGAATTTTGTACATTGAAATTTGGCAGCGATATCACGTGAGCTTTTCTCCTCAGCCACTGTTTACAAACACACGGAACGTGACATGCGCACTGTATAAATCACAGTCTTCCACTCAGCGCTGTTAAAAGTAAACAGAATACGACGCGACACAGAGACTATGCGGCACAGTAGAAATAGCATAGATTGTTTATTTGATTCAACTCAATCCATATTAACGCCTGAAGTTATACTACACACAATGGACAGCATTATTGTGAATGGTTTTTTTCTTCACCAATATAGAGTGTTTTTCTCAATTGCAGTTAAACCATGAGCCATGAGTGTCTCAAATCAGGAAGAAAAAACTGACAACAACGAGGATGGCTTACAAGATTTGGGAATACCGGTGCCGATACAAACATTCTTATGGGGTCAAATTGCCCCGTTTATTCGTCCAAAATTAGGAAAATTACACGAGGCCGCTTGCATGGTAACAATTTCGATTACGAATTTTGCCTTTGAAATAATCTTTTTTAATCGTTATATTTGTTTTTTATTCTGCAGTTTTGTCAACATGCACCCGGCCATTACGAACTGAAAGAAGCGTGTAAATCAATTGAAAAGGTGCTAGTGCAAAATATCCACTTTGGATTGTCGGTGCCGTTGACACAAGCACTTGAATCGGTTGACCGATGGCGAGTAGTACAAGCAGCACTTCCCCATGTTATGCATTGCGCCGCTGCTTTACTCCACAATCGGTATGTAATTCTCATCAAGCTAACCAAAATGAATTTGTATTTTTCAACTAAAGATCGTTCCTCTTTGTTACACACCCACAGCGTCAAAGATTTGCAAATGCTTGGTCCGGCCGAAACGAAATTGTTGTATACATTGCATTGGATATTGTTGTTTGCATCGGCTGAATGTGCTGACGAAGAAGTCGATGTGAAGAATGAAGCCCGATCCCATTTATTTTCCATTCCGACCATTTCGTTATTTGTTTATTTATTTGCACCAATTGTGCACCATTTGAAAGAATCCGATTTTCAAAATTATCGCCTCGAAAATGGTATCAAACTGTGGCATGGAATGTGGGAATTCACGGCCCCACACGGTGCGCCATGCTTTGCAGCCGCTGTCAAACCAAAAGCGAGGCAACTTTTGAACAGCTTACTCAGTCCACGGGAATCATTGGATGCATATTGCCCGAATCGTGAGTTCAACCATAGAGTTCGGAATGCATTTGAAGAATTTTGATGATATTTATTTCGAATTTCTATTTAGATTCACCAAAAAGTTTGGCCGTTTACGAACTTCAAAAACATGAAGAAGAGGTAAGTGTTTGAGTGCATTTCTTCACTTTTGATCTGTTTGCTTCATTACAAAAGACAAATATATTTCAAGTGATCAACATTATAATAATGACTTATTTCATCAAATTCGTGCAGACTGCTTGGGTTTCATCACCAAAAGATAGCGTTTTCCCAGAAACAATACCCGAAGAAGCGTCTAGCGTGGAAGAAGAACGTGTTGTTATCTTTCGTATACCATATGCAACGTGCAAGCCTTCATTTTATACAGTAAGTAGACAACTTTTGAACAAATTAAACTCTTTGTTGACACAAAATTCACTTATTTTTCATTGTACGAGTTTTTTTTGTTCAATTTAACATTAAATTAATCACTCAATCCGAATTTCAAGGCTGATGCAAGTTTGCTGCAACAAAGTCAGGATAGTATTTTGTCTAAACTCGAGGGCGACCGTTTCAATTTTGATAAAATTCAACGTTTTGCGGTAATAAACTGTTCTTCCTTGGTGCAATTGGCCCAATTTATCAACAAAATTGAAAAATTGTGATGAGAAATGCATGAAAATAACTGATTTGTTTACAGAAAAGCGAGGGTTCTTCGACTGACAGAGATTCGGATGACGAGAGCAGATCGTCGCGTAAGAGAACGAGATACGACACGGTTGCTGCTACATTTCTTGATGTTGCTGTTTTGCGTTGTTTATTCATTTTACATTGGCAGGAGGAGGGTGTTTATTGGTGCTTACATTATATTTACAATAGGTAAGACTATGTACTAGCGTTATGTATTTACTCGTCTGCTCTTACTCACAAGTATTTAACTTTAAAAAAAATAATATATTAGAAAATATTATTTTATTATTTGTTCGGCACATTTAATTAGATATTTAATGAATGGCTTCATTTCAGGCTTCGTAAAATAAGTGAAGAAGTATCTGTGCCAATTTGGCAAACTCGACGACGGTCGAATTCATTGCCTATACCCCAAATCGAAATATCCGTTTACCAGGGGACGAATAGCAATAGTCGTGATAGTCCGAGTGGAAATACATTAAAAGATTTCATTGAAGTTCCTGAACAAGTGATGCAAACTATAACCGATTGCAGTGACAGTTCCGATTCGAAAGGTCAACAACGCTCGGAAAAACCGACAGGAACGATTGAACGGCGTGCAAATAGTGAACGAAAGCGAAATGTTAAAATAGCCAGTTTCAAATCGCTCATTGAATCGAAAATATTTTCGAAATCCGAAAAGGAATTAGAACGAATCGGCCTGTCCAAGAAACCGACCGCAACTGATACAACATCGTGTATTTCACAAGATGAAACTGATGCAGTAAGTGAAAAATCAAACAATTTTGATTAAGAAATGCTAATTAAAATAAGAATTTCAATCATTTCAGGATCAATTATTGGGCAATACATTACAAAATGATAAAAAGATGCTTTCACGATCAGCATCGGTGATATCAACTAGAACTGTAACGAATTTAGTTAAAGGCAAAAGCATGCCAAGCTTGACGTGAGTTTATTCCACCAGTGGTGGCACTCTATTCACTACTCGCATCAGGACAATGAATTTTATTAATCTTCTTGATTTCCAATCAATTTCCATCATTTAGTTGTCCATTTGTCGAGAACTCCACTGTAATTCGAAGCTCGCAGTCATCTGGGCCGCGTACATCGTTCTATTCGAAAAATCCAATAATTACTGTAACCGAGCATACGCCGGTGCCGTCACCAGAATATATGCGCCGTCAAGGTTCATACGATTCTCAATTGGAAATCATCAGTCAATCGGGTAGCCAAATTGGATTTCGACCGCATATGTTGCGATCGCACACAGATTCGCACATCGATTACAGTGGTGCTGATGAGTCCGAAGCACCTGGATCAGCGTTTTATATAACGCGCGAAGGATCAATCAACTACGAAGTGGTTTTGCTAGCTGTTTACATGGTATTCAAACGAGAATCCAACGTTTGTTCGCTACGTGTTTTGGAAACTGGTTTGAATATCACCGAAGTGTTGCTAGATTTAGGCGTTATCAAAACAAGTGAACACGCTCACCATTTGATAATGGGAATCATCAAACGAACCTGGTTGCACTTGGGCTGCCCGCATGGCTGCAACGAAGGTATTCGCGGTCCACCGGCCGAATTCTTGCGCACACAATGTCAATCGATTTTATCTCGAATGCTCCGGCAAGAGCCATCGAACACACGACAATATCTACGAAAAATGGTCAAAACCTCTAAACTACATGAGCTCGTTGAATTTTTTCACGCATTTGTTGGTTTTTGCGTCGATCCGTCTTCACTTCTTTCGCCACTGAGTAAGTTTAAATTTTCCAAAAGAATTCTTGGTTTTTTTCTCCCAAAACTTTGAATGTTCGGAATTCAATGGATTCGTTCTTGTCCACAGGTCACAAGCGGCATTCAGCATTTAAAACACTTAATCCAGACATAAACAATATGGCAAATAATTATGCAACAAATTTTGGCGGTGGCCCAAATAATGGGACTGAAGCACAAGTAATTGGTGCCATCTTCAAATCATTAGTCACACGATGTGTTCAATCGTTTAAGGAATTAAAATGTCAAGAGCAAATAGCACTGTATTCGGATGTTAGACAATTAATAACGTATATAAAGAATGCACATGGCGGAACATTTCGACGTGTTGCGCTGAGTGGATCAATTGACGTAACACCAAAACCGCACAAAAAAGCATACGATTTACAAACCACTCGTGTCATCAGGTATGACTAAAGTCGTTCATTTTTGCGGTTAAAACACCTTATTCAAACTAAAAACTTGTTTATTCTTTTATCGACAGGCACATTCAACACAGCGATGCATCGTCTTACCAGCAGGATGATAAATTCCAACGGAAATTGTTCTTCAAAAAGCGTAGCATGTCTTCAGCATGTGCGGTAAGATTCACATTTCAATTTCCGGATTAAGATTCTTTATGTTTAACAATTAGATGTTCAAATCCCATTGTTCGTCGCAGAGTTTACTCGAAACAGAGGGTCCAGAAGATCAAGTGTGCGAAAATCAAAGTCCAATTTCAAATATAACCCGGCGAACAGTTTCAAATCATCCGACGCTGACTCCGAAACACAGCGAACGGGCATTCTTTCCAGACACACTTCAGCGATCGGATCGGAATTCTGTTGGTCGTTTAGGTGAAATCGGTTGGATAAATATAATTATTTTCATATAATAAAACGAAATAATAACCACATTTTTAACGTTTCAACCTATACTGTTTTTAGTTCGTTGGTTCCGTGGTTCATCGAAAGATGCATCGGCTGATTTGGAGTCCGGTGTGTTTGGATCGCATTTGGCAGCATCAATCCTTCGCCATGGTTCATTCAAAAGCAGACGAGGCGATGGAATCGGTCGATCCTTGCAACGTGTCCGAAGACGTGTTGAACGGCGTCTGAACCGAATTGGTTTGGGAAAAGGGAAGAAAGTCGTTGGTGGCGTTGAAGAAGCCACCGGAAGCTGTAAGTCAAAATTCAACAGAACAGTTCATTCAACTCCGAAATTTTGGCATCATCGAATACGTTTTTCTGAAATCCACTTGTTTAGGCTTCAGCCGAAGGTCATCGTTCGACTATGGCGAAGGCTCTAAGGAATCCGAAATTGTTGTTCTGAAAGAGCGTCGTTTGATTCCAATGAAACCAGTGCGAGAAGGAATGCAACGATTCAATTTTCTACTTGAAGTGTGTGTGCCTGGCACTGTTCCAGATCCACAATTGATTGGTGCTATTATGGATTTGGTAAGAAAATTACAAATGAAAACGCGAATGAAATAAACTAACGAAACTTCATTTCAATGCAGCCAAACGCACCGATAGTAACGCGAGCGGCTCTTCTGTTAGAATGTGCACACTACGTGCAAAAAGCCAATAGCAATCAATGGGCATCATGGATAAAACAGAATTTAATTTCATTTCGACCATCTGGTCCGAATATCGCATCACGAATACCCTCCGCTTCCAGCTCACAGCGACGTACGCACATTCTGCAACGAGCGGCTGGCAAAATGTTCTATCAATGGGGCGAAGTGATTGGCATGCGGTTAGAGGAGATGCTGATGAGAGAAAAACAAAATCATGATAAAATTGAGGCAACTCTCAACGATCCGGATAAACAAAACGAACTCGTTCAACAGGATGAAGAGGAAGACTTTTTGGATGAAGGTAGCTTAATATATATATTTTTGCTATAGCAAAAAAAAACCTACAGTTTTAGACAATTTGTCAGATTTTTTGTTTATTGAAACAAATTCTTCGTTCAAATAAAATTCTAGCATCAGTGAACCCGAATGGCGGTAGTTGTCCACCAGCGTTGCAATTGATTGCATGCCTTGTTTTATATGAAATCACTGCATTTTTACGTGAAACCTACCGAACGTTGCCGAAAACATCGAAAATGTCGACCAAAGAAAAGGCAGCACCATGGGAAAAGATTTATCGTGAAGCGAACCGTCGCTGGTCGATGGCTCTCAGCTCAATGGGTCATTCACAGACGTCGGCACAAAGCCTACAAAGCATCGCTGGCGGAGATAATGAACGGAAAATTTCGTTTGTTCTACACGAGCCTGATAATGAATCCGAAAATAGCAGCAATACAACGGTCACAATGCAAGGCGAGGAAACGAACAATGCACCGCAGCCAAGTGAGTACAATGAATATTGTTATTTATTCGGAAGGGATAATTTTGAAAACAAAAACATTTATATTTCAGGCATTCAACAAAGACGACCATTAGCAAACGTTAGGCCATTTTTACTGCGTCGTGGCACACAAGCCCAAGCTCCACAAGGAGGTTCATTTAAACGACGATCTTTGAAATTACGGCGAGGAACGAAAGAAGGCAAAGATCTGGAAAGTGATTGTAAGGCAACCATTCTTGCTTTTCCCCTAAATTATTTTATATTTGAATAAATCTCAAAAAGTCTCGTTTATAGTACGGAGAACCGATTCAATTCAATCCCGTCGAAAAGTTTCGTCGATATCCGATCGAAGTGATACATCTGAACCAGGTGCGGCAAGCGGTGGTGAGGAGTCACCAGGAATATTGAGGTATGGTTGATTGATAAAATCTTTGCCAGAGTCTTTAATTCAAAAAGCTTTTGGTTTCGTTAAAAAAAATTTTTTTTAATGAAGTGATGAACTCATCTCCAATAATTTCCCACACAGTGATGAACCGCCACCCGAATCACCGTGCGACTCAAATGAAACTGATGAAACGGGAAAGATGATTCCATGGATAAAACCGATAGTCAGAATGATGAACTCATTCCATTATTATTGTTCACATCAAAATTATTGTCATCCCTATTGCTATCGCCGTCATATTCGTGCTTCGTCCCGGCTAATCAAAGCCGTGCGAAAAGTGTATGGCGATCAATTTGGCGTTGAAGAACCACAGCAAGAATTCCTTCCCGACAACACCAAAACTACAGGGCGAAAAGAACGTCGAAATCGAAAAGTGTCCGATCAAAATAATTCACAAACATCACTGCGACACAAGGAAACTCTGGCCAAGTAATTCCCATCTCTTTGGATTTTTTATGACTCATTGAAACTGTTCCCAAACTTAATTCATTCGAAGTATAATTTTCAGCGTATTGGGCGTCGGTGACAAAACAACGGAGAAAAAACGCGAAGAAAATTCACCCATTTTGAAGTACATCAAAAATCACGTTCGTGAAATATTCCATGTCCCTATGGCGATTATGATCAAGAGTGCGGTGGTTTTAACAGAAGATTCATTTATCGAAGTGATACCAGCTGCATGGGAGTTGTTGTTGGAGAAAAACCCAGAGATATCAACATCGGCAGCTGCCTTATTCATAATTGGATCGGTTCGAGCTCCAAATTTTGCGTCGGAAATAATGCAACGTGCATTGAAGCACAAAGACCCTGACATTCGGATTCAAGCAATTTTACGGTATCAAGTGTTGTGGAAGAGCCGATTCCAAGTATGGCCACGAATGGAAGAAGGTGCCCATGTTTCGTTCAAAGTGCCACCGCCCGGAATCGAATTCACATTGCCATCGCCAAAAATCGGAATAGAAAGTTTACCCGTTGTCGATCCACCGTGGTGTCCACGCTATCAAAACAAAGATATGGAAGTTCAACTAAATCAGGAACGGCATCGTTCATTTGTAACAGCAACCAAAACGCGAAAAAAGCAACAAGCCGAAGCCATTCATTATGCAATTAAACAACAAGAAGACAAACAACGTGCTGAACGCGAGAGTTTTCTTTTGACAACCATTCCGATTACACAGCAAGCATCACATGCACCCGGCTTAGATCACTCAGGAGAAGATCACAATGAAATTGAGGATGAAGTTGAAACGGGTCGCATACCGGCACATTTGCACGCGGCTCACTCATTATTTCCATCCGTTCTGTGTTCATCGGTTATGCAAATTGTCGCTTGCTTAGATGATGCGGCCGTTAATTCGGAAGGCGTTTCGGTCTGTGGCATCGCCTATCAGGTACTATTTTGATTTTCAATGAGAGAAATTTAATTCTCACTCGAAACGTTTCATAAATCAGTCTTTACTAATTTATTTATGGAAAATTTTACTTTTCAGGTCATTTGGGTTTGTTTAGTCGAAGACTCGGCACTTTTTTTACGATATGTTCTGGAGCGCCTAACACGCGATCGACAAGATCAAATGTTCAAATTGCTGCGACATTTGATTCGATTCGTACCCCGTTTACCACAACAAGCTGCATTCGCACTTTACAATTATATCATAGGATACGTTATGTTTTACGTTCGATCGTCTCATGAATCTAGCCAACAGGTACTTTTCAAATCATTTTCATGAAAATACATACACGTTGAATACATTTTTTCATAATCGGTACATTTTCAGTTGGTTGGTGCAGCTCTTTCGGTTCTATGGATGGTAGTGCACAGTGTTCATGGAATTATGTTCAAAGATTTGAAACAAATTCTACGAAAAGAACAGTGTGATGCTTCCATTTTGCTAACGGCAAATGTTCCATCGGCCAAAAAGATCGTCGTTCACGGACCTGACGGTAATTTTAGCATCGATCTATTCTAATTTAAGAGAATTATGGAATAATTTTAACTTTTGGAAAAAAAATGAATGAAAAAAACTCTGAATAAAATTAATGAATGTCTTCTTTTGAAACCACATAGATGAAGGCGGTATTCCATCCCAATTCCCAGTACAAGAAGAAACTCAATTTCTACAGTTGCTCCGCGAATCGTTGGATTTCTTCAGCATTGAAGAGAAGTTTCATGGTCAACACGTTTTAATTGATTACAAAACACGTAAAATTTCTCTTCATATTCTCGTTAGATTGTCGATTGTAATAAAAATGAATATTTCTTATTGAAAATGTAGAGAAAATCTTGAATCCAAATTGGTACGTACGCGATTTGTACTTCTTCAAAAGATCGCAATATCCTCAGCTGCGTTTAGTGGAGATGCCGTCGCAGGAAGCGTTCAATGCGCTTCAGAAACAAGAATTAGTGAAAAAATTCGTCGAAATCGGAAAGGTTCATTTGACGTGGGCCATTTTGAAGAACGTTGACATGGTGAGGATTATTTTGCATTTTTGAATTTTTTCAAAATAAACAAAAGGAATTATTTGTTTAACTTTCATTATCTCTTAAATTAGGTGGTGCAACGAGTCGTATTCTTGCACGAAGAATTGATGAAGTTGCCATTTTTCCCTCGAAAAGCGCTTGAGTCGGATTTGGATCTCTATCAAGGCGGAGAATTGGGAAAAGTAAATACAAATAATTCGAATTGGAATAAGAGTACTGCAATTAACCTCATTTTAAATTGTTTGTCCACAGGAATTATTAGGTTTAGATGTACTGCACAAATTCATGTGGGTTCGTTTAATTGCCCGAATGTTTGAGGCAATGGCTGGAAATTTTGCCTATTCCGGTGACATTCACTTGTTTTTGAATGTACTTTCTGGTGCTGCAATTCTTCATTCCGAAGACGCATGCATAATGCGATACGTAATGGCCACATTCATCAATGCCGCCTTCAATTTCAAAAATATTTTCTCCACAAATGGATACTTTCTCATAATGCCCACTTTGTTACAAGTCTATTCATTCCATCAAACCAACAAACTTGTAACCACAACCATTGAGTACGCCGTTAAACAATTCTATTTACTGAATCGAAAGCCATTCATCATGCAAATGTTTGGAGCTGTATCAGCTATTTTGGACACCGATGAAGAAGGTGTTTATGGCGACGCATCGAAAGTACAATCAAGTTGCCTTTTTAATCTTCTGTTGAGCTTGGAAACACCGTCACCAGACCCTTTAAATATTGGTAAGGATGAGAAAACACATTTATCGTCGCAAATCACTCAACTTTTTTATGAATAATCTTTTTAGCTGAATTGATAAAAGAACCAACACCATTAAAAGCCATCGATTTCTGCTATCATGACGAAGACGAAATGGTCACTGTGCTTGACTGTATCACACTCTGCGTCATGGTAGTTTCATATTCAGCAGAAAACACACGTGGATACCAAATGCTTGTAAGATTTACATCAAACCAATTTTCGTGCTTTTCAATCGAAATAATAACACTAAATTGTCTCATTTTCAGATAATTTTGGAAGCGATTCTGCCGTGTTACATGCAACAAATACAATCAACGTGTTATATCCAATCCGAAAGCAAAACTGAAAGGGAAATTATTCTTCAATTAGCTGTCGCTGTTCGAACTATGGTTCACAATAGCGAAGGATTAGCCAAGTGAGAATAATTTCTATCGAAAGAATCATTTATTGAGAAATGTCGAATGAATGATAATTTTAAATTTTCATTCCGTAGGAGCTATAATGGACCATATAGGAATAGTCCAGAGCACAAAGGATCAAGTCAACGAAACTGCAGCAGAGGACCACCAGTTTCGCCGGGCTTAGATTTTGAAGATGAATCACATTCGAAGTATGTCAGCGATGTTGGAAGAAACAAAAACTACGAGACACCAGAAGATTCAGAAGTAAGTGCTAACCATCTATGGCATTTGGTTGAAAATATGGAAATTAATCCATTATGAAAATTTCAGGCAATTCGAACGAATTTTCGACGAGCAAGGGACGTACTTTTGTCAGTTGTCGGTGAATTTATAAGTAGATCGTCAACCCGTTTAACCGAATTAGCGAAGAAGCAATCGTTGAATGATACGAAAAACGTTGAGCTACTCGATGTAAAATGCCACATTCGCTTAGCGGATATTGCTCATTCACTGCTGAAAGTGTCGCCATACGATCCAGACACAATGGCTTGCAGGGGATTACAAAGGTTGTGGAAATATACAGGAAAACTATTAGCCGTTTTTCAATCTTTCGTTCCAATATTTTAAGAAAAACGTATTTCAAATGAATTTGATTGTTTTAGGTACATGCAATTCATACTCCCTCGTGCTGAATGGGCAAATGATGCGCTAAAAGCGGCTCTGGTACAAATTTTACGTCGATTGGACAAAGTATTTTTGAAAATTTCGAAAAAACCATCAATTCGAGTAAGCAACACCCCTGGAAATGATTGAGTTGAAATTTGAATTTGAATAAAACGTGTGTCATTGAAATGATTTTCCCTTGTAGCGAAACACGGACTGGGAAGCAGCGGCTGGATTGTTGAAAGGAATCCATGAGACAATCGTTCGTCATCCATATGTGTTGCACTGGCAACAGATCAAAACTCTGTTTAGTACGGTGCAAAATTTGATAGTAAACGAGCCGGGTTCAACAACGGAAGGAGTGTCCAGTGGTGCTGGAAACGCAGTTGTCAGCCAAAATCCGCCTCCATTCTTCTGTTCAACCGTTGTCCGTTTGATTGCATTGCAGTTAATTAGCCCGGTACAGGTTCATTCATTGGAGCACATTTGCGGTGGAAGCTCGGAATTTGCAACACAAGAGAAAGCCGAAGGATTTCTACTTCATCTATTGATGCCGTTATGCCTGAAAGTGTGCAGCGGTCGTGGTGTTTCGGACGTCGGCCTGCTCAGGCAAACTGACATATCTTTTCTAGTGGCGGCCACATTGAACGCAATGAGCCCACTTGCCGGTAGGACAGGTCAAGTTGGTACGGCAGTTAACAGAACAGTTGGTGATCTAAGAGCTGGTTCATTAACCTTTACAGGTAGCCGAGATGCCAAACGGCCAGCACGAATCAGTGGAAGTTTATACCAGGCCGGATTTCTATGTATGCAATTTGCACGGTTGATGTGAAAATAGTGGCAAACAATTCTAATTTTGCAATCTTTCTTATAGCGCTTCGCATCCTGTGCATTTGTTTTGAGCAACGCCTTGGACAGGAATGGCCGCGAATCGTTCGGGTTATGCGTGATTTGGGCCGGCGAAATGAAGCCGCACCGGAATTATGGAGTTTCTTGGAATTTGTTGTAACACATCGAACACCATTGTATATTTGTTTAATGCCATTTATTTTGCACAAGGTTTGTTTACTTTTCAGAACGGCGATGGGCATGCAACATAGTCTTTTCGTAGCGATTTTCTCCTCACGCATTGAGCTCATATGAACTAATTAATACGCGTTTGTTGCCAAATTCTACTCTAATTTTCCATTTAGATCTCCCAGCCACCGATCGGTGATCACGAGCGTCACATGCAACACCTGATTCGTGAACGAATGAAAGGAATGCCCGAACCGAATATGATAAAATCACGAGGAGCACTACTGCTTGAATTGGCCCGCGAATTGCGCGAGCTCAGAGAAGAATTAGAAGAACGTAGATATGGTTTGTAGTTTCATTCATTTAGTTTAGGTTCAAAAGAGAAACGAATCCATTTATGTGTTTAGAATTTAGTGAGAGTAAAATAAATCAAAGTCAATCATTCATCCCATTACAATTAACTAGAAAAAGAGCCCGAACCATCAAAACGTGAAGTATCACAAATTCCTCCGCCATCTGAACCACCGAAGCATCAACAACGACCCTCGCTGATCTCATTGTTTACTGGGCAGCATTCCACATCGCATCTATCATCCCTCTATCACATCGATTCACGACCCGTAGCCGCACTATGCACCCAATTAACGCAAAACACCCTTCATCCACCACGAAATGAGTCGCTGTCGAGTAGTTCGACAGCGACTAAAGAGGCCATTAGCGAAGGTCAAAGTTCAGAAGCAATAACTTTAAACCCGGCCAATGCAGGAAATGGATCATCGACCGTGTTAGGTGGTTCCTCAATTGGTAGCATATCGGAGGCGGTGACAACAGTTCCTCATCTAACACACTCAATGTCATTGCAACAGCAAAACTCATGGAAAATGCAACCGCCACGATTGCGTTTTGTTTCATCGGTTGAGTTTAAACATTCGGTTGAGTTTAAACATTCATCGGGCGAAACGTCAACAACCCCATTGTCGCCGGAAAGTCCGGTCGAATATAGTTCCGGTGAAAATAATAAACCGTCACGTTTACAACGGTCGAAAGCAAGCAGTCGCAAAACGTTCCGTAGTCGACGCGGACGAAATCCACCGGCAGTTCAAGAGGTATGTTCGAATTGCATCGAAGAGGTATGCGAGTTGAATCAGAGAAAAATTGTTCAGTATTTTTGAAAGGAAAAAAATCTCTTTTTGTTCCAGAATGTTTCGCATTCATCGGACCAATCAGAGATTCAACCGCCGAAATCAATTTCCGTTGCCGCTGATTTGTCATGGGATTCGGTGTCGCAAACATCATCGACCTCCGGTTATCGAGATAACAATAGTCTACAAACAGGCCTACTCTCACCTGACAGCTCACTCACCTATGGCATCCCACACAATATGACACGCTCACTATCGCAACACTCACTGTTGATGCTATTTGAGACGCAAGACGAAGAAGACACCCTGATCTAAACACCACACTATCCGTCTCACAAACATCATAAAGAAAGAGAGAGAGAGAGAGACACAGGATTTTTTTCTAAAAAAGCACAAAAACCACACCTAGAAAGGAACAACATCTTTTTTAAAATCCAATTAAAAAAAAAAAACAAAACAAAACAACAAATTTGTATTGAAATGTTAACATTAGCTGTAGCCTAAGCACAAAAAACAACAACAACAAATAATTAACACTATTATTACTATTATTACATATAGAGAGAAAAAAACAAATGATAAACAAATAATTTTATTGACGAAAGGCTATATAGAAATAGTGATCGTTCGTGTGCTGTTGTTAGCTGTTGAATTTCTAATATCGTTAACCGTTAGATTGTGTGAATGATAATAACAAAAAATGAATAAAAAATGAAAGGAAAAAATTACTAATAAAAAAAACAACAACCAGAAACAGAACATTTTATGCGATAGAAACACATCGTAACATGTTAGAGAGACAATTAGATTTAAATGCATCTACAATAACTACGTTAGATTGAAAGAATAAAAAAAAATTATAAACAACAACAAAAAACATTCAACCAACAACAACAAGACAAAAAAATGTATGAGTCTATTATTATTTATTACTACCAATGATTTTATCGATCATTTTATGCTTCAATCGAAAAGAAAAATAGAGAAAAACATTTTTTAGTCGATTGAATTTTTCGAATTGAACGCCACCAACAAAAAAAAACACACAGAATGAAAAGGAATATTAGCAAATAAAAATTGACAAACGAATTGTTGCTTACATCGTTTTTAATCATATGCATTTTGTTTCATTTCCATCCGGGGAAATTTCCCTTTCTTTTTCACATCAGGCTATTGAAAATTCCGCAGAGATGAAATAAAAGACCAATTTTAGGTAATTCACTTAAACATTACTTCATTATGCTAAAAGATATGCCGATTTTATTCGAACTTTCTTTTAATTGAACCCTATAAATCTATGAGCGTTTCTTAATCTCGTTTTGTAATCTTTACTCTCAAGCCGTCTTTTGGCCGCAAAATCAATTCACCCAACAACGTTAAATCTTCACGTCTGTCAAGCGCTTCGACTTTGTAGTTCCTTAAAACGGCCGATATCACCGATTTTTCTTCTAGAAGAGCGAATTTTTGACCAATGCCTATGGAAATGGAAAGAAAATGGAAATTAAGTTAAGCGTCGAATTGGTTTGAAGTTCGAAAAAAGAGCTAGCTAATTGAAAAACAATCAAGGAAATGGTATCTTCAGCTATTATTCAAAATTCAAACAAATAGTAAAACTTACAGTTTCTCGGTCCTGCACTGAATGGAATCTGAATAAAATTCGTGATAAAAATCAAAAATAATTTGTCATTATTCTAGTACAATTAAGTCAATGTGTTGTTACATATAACGAATAGTGTCAAATCGGCAAATATCATTTTGAGGATCTACAGTAATTAATAATCTTTAATCATCGTTTTATTTTATTTTCAAATTAAAATAAATATAGTTTAATAAAAAATTTTAACTTACGTAAGCATACGGATGACGACCGGCACTGTTTTCGGGCAAGAAGTTGTTCGGATTGAATCTTTCTGGATTTGGGAAGACTTTTGGGTCGCGATGAAGAACATAGGTGGAAACTAGTGCCATGGTTCCGGCAGGAATGAGATACTCACCAATTTGAACATCTTCATGTAAATGTCGTCCAAGTAATGGCACTGATGGATAAAGTCGCAATGAATCTTTGATTGCACATTCCAAATATTTCATATCGTTCAATTCTTTCATCGTTGGCGGTCGGGTACGATCTCCATCGAAGATTGTATCAAGCTCCTCAACAACTCTATCTTGAATCTCTGGACTGGTACCCAATAAGAAAAGTGTCCAGCAAATTGAAGCCGATGTTGTATCATGACCTTCAAACATAAATGTATCAACTTCCTCACGAATATCTTCATCCGACAATTCCTTTCCATTTTGTGATGCTTCGATTAATAGATCCAAGAAGGCCAATCGTTTCTTGCGTGGAAAATCAACAAATTCATATTTACTGTCATCGATTTCTTCTTGCAAATTCAAATTTTTAACGCTAGCACTATTGTTATTATTATTATTGTTTTGGTCAGCAATTTCGGCTTTACGCTCTTTGATCACGCGATTTGAGAAGCCATGCAAAGTTTTGATACAATTTTGATGATCTTGATACAATTTTGTCATACGGAACAAAAACTCCGGATGATACCACACTTTGACTTGACGAGTTTGAACGATTTCACCGATTCTAAAAAAAAATTCGATAAGTAATGGATTTTGTTAATCGAACGAGAATTTTTTTTAAATTTACTTGTAAACCGCTTTCACGTATTCCGAATCATCGTTGCTTTGTGCGTCGATGCTTTGTCCCATGGCCGTTTCTAAATAAAATAAATCACATTTCCGAAGAAATCCGTTGTATGAATAAGCTTGAATCATTTGTCATATTGATAATAATGAAACGCACCACAAATGATATCCAACGTACACAAGGTGACGTATTTGAATAAGTTAAAGCCTTCCTCTTTGTCGACTTCTTTCTGCAATTTGGTGACTAAAACGGCACTTTGCTCTTGGAACACGTCAATGAAGTCCTCCAAGATTTTGAAGTGAAATGTTGGTGTTAAAATCTAAATTGAAACAAATAATTTGAATGTGATTGATATACTACAACACATGATACGTTTTCATCGCGTTTCGATTCGGTAAAAATCGTCAATCTTAAGCGTTTGCTTTTGATCGTCATTAATCGCATTCAGTGAACGTACCTTTCGTCGTGCATGCCATTTTTTGCCACGCGATGTCAGAAGACCTGTTCCCAGCCAAGGATGCAAAAAGTCGTAATCTTGACTTTTGTCAATGTGTTTCGGACTGGACATGATAACCTATAAAAAACAAAATAATAGATTAGCCACGCTTGTATGCTATCATCCGAAATTATTCAACTTAACTAATTAGTTACAGTTCGTTTGAACTGAAATGGAAGAAAAAACTTAATAAAAAATACCTCAACTTTAGATGCTTCCATGAGATAAACATAAGGATCGTATGCCAACCAAGCACGACAGATTCCAACATCACGGCCCCAGAAATTCTTAACACCGCACATTCTTGCGAATAACTCTGTGAAGGAAAGAAGAAAAAACACAATCGATTAATAGACAATCGATTTAGATCATTACATCATGTCACTTTCACGGGTCTTTGTATCCATTCATTTCAATCATTCGCATGTTTGTTTCACGGTTAAAGCGCCTTACTGCCATTATTTATGACCGATCATTATTATTTTTATCATTTCCGACATCTAACTGGTTATTCAAACATCATAAACCATAAAAAAAATTCGGTGTGTTACTTTACCGAAATCCATCGCCGAACATGAATGTTCGAACACGAAGAGAAAAAGAACATCGTATAAGCATAAATTATTAATTGAACTTTGATTTAAAACAGGTTGAGTGAACTGATAAACGACATTCGGTAAATTTTCCGTTTCGCTAGTCATTAGAGGACGCATGCTGCATGTGAACATTTTTATGTAGTGTATAATCGCTGTCTTCTGATTGAATGTTCGACTATTTTTATATTAGATTAATGAATATTTATAGAAACATAAACACGATGAAATGGTAACTGAATACCCTTTGATGAAGAAGAAGGATGCGTCTTTATGCAGAAATTCTGAATTTAGCCATTTTTTGTTGCCACTGAACGACGAAAAGAAATTCCAACACATTTTGATGTATACCGGTTAGACGATCCATTCATTTCACATCAAAATCCTTAATTTATTCCTGAAGACGAGAATTGTTCGGTAATCAAGATTTTAGTCGCAACTAGAACCTGCGACAGCCGGAACCTAATTTGAATTCATCTCTTTCATTGTTCAAATACCACGGTATCAATGTGTGAAACGAAGAACTTGATTTTATGCAAATTGTGGGAATTTCTTTGACTCTTTTCGGAATTTGCGTGTTTTTTCGGTTTTCTAATGTGATCATTCTATGATCAATGAATTGAAGCGAATGGCATTTACAGTTTGGCCCATTAAATTTTTGGATTTGCGTAATGCTTTTTATATTCGCAAACCTATCCCAAACGTCCCAAAGTTCTTTTCGAACACGTTTGAGCAATTTTTCGCGAGATTTTGACAACGTAAAGGTTAGACACGATTAGATGTATATTCTGAATTCAAATAATCTAATTTTAGATATTCTTGTGGTCTAAAGTAGTGAAGTGATTTTTTTTTTGACCAAAATCTTGTTTTTTCTCGATGAAAATCGCAATAGTCGTCAATTTAACGAAATAACAAAATCAAATATACGAGAAAAAAAACATAATTCTTTGGAATTTGTATGATTTATATTGTGCGTCCGTGGAATTATGTCCGGGAGCCCAAAAAATGGTTAAATTTCACAAACAATTTTGATTGTTCGATCTAAATTTGTTTTAATCCATTAAAAGTGTATACGTTTCAATTATAGATAATTAGCCGATTTTCACTGTTTTATCACTGTGGAACTACTTGTTTGCGAATCTCCTTGAACTTTAATACAATAATGTTAATACATACACCGAATGACCCATCACAATTATATGCCATAAATTAACTTGATTGAAGAATGTTAACCGCACATATATAAATTAGCACATATCACTTGTGCGCACATCGTCTCATCCAATAAAAATTAGTTTGGCATCAGTTGTCGCATTGTTTCTTTTTTAATCGCGCAATACACTTTACAAAACACAATAAAATCGCAAATTTTATTTTTTCATCCAAATTGGACTGGGTCATTTCATTTGAATTGGTTGAGGAACGATTATAATTTACCGTCGAATCCAGTTGAAACTTCCAACATATTTCCAATGATGGGCAACGGTACTGGTCCAGGCACTTTTCCAATGAGGCTCTCAATGCGCCGCCGTCGAAGTTTAAATGCAACGAAGTAAGTGGTCAATAAAACCAATAACACCGTCGTTACCGGTGAAAAATATGTGAATATTGAAAGAGCCCGCTGCAAAATTACACTCTTCATTTTTATAAATTATTTAATTTCGTTTCTTTTCAGGTTTGTTTTTTTTTTTGTTCCGCAGTTTGTATTTTTATCCTTTCAACTCTGCTCTGTGAACTTCGTTAACTTTTCTACGTATTTGAATCGTTGCGTTCTTTTTTAAGCCAAATTATAACTATAAAAAAACTGGCTGCATTAAATCTGTCTTGTTGTATCGTGTGAATAAAACATCGACAATTGTCACGATAAGAGCTCGATGCACTATGTGTTTTAAACCAAGATCTCTGTGAGAGATGATAAAAAGCAAATTATAGGGCAACCCTTTTGGCAAAGAAAAAACTGCTGTGGAATTTAGTCGGTCTCGATTTTCAAGCGTCTATTCTGATCAATTGTTGCGACGCGACTAAATTTTGATAGCATATCGATGCTTTGAGATGATCTAGGTTCCATACTCGATCTTGAATATATATGCTCTCCTATTTACCTCGCACCGTCTTTTTTCCTTCTCTTATTTCACATCGCTCGCTTGTTGATTATTAATCAACCAACAGAGAGGTGCTAAAGCTAGGTGCCTCGCAAGCCGCGCTCCCAATACCAAAACTCACACATACACTCAAAGGCCGTCTCCGAAAAGTTTTTGTTCCGAATTGTTTTTTTTTTCTCTTCTTGTTCAAAAACAAACGAGCCCGCACACACAACCACGTAATCTTAATCATAAGCTAGCTACGAGCTGATTGCGTACATTGAATAGCAACCAAATGATCGGAAGAGACATTATGCGACTGGAGAGAAATCAAAGGAGAAAAAAACTATAATTTGACTGTTTGAAACAGTCTGTTCCTGTCTCCCCAGTAGTTCTTTTTTTTCACCGTTTGCAGACTTTTCGTATACATGTATTGAGTCAAGTTCAGTGTGATATTGAAAATTATGTACAGCGTTCGTATCATACATGATTGGCTATTGCTAGCCAGTATATGTATACAGCAATCTGTCGCTGCTTAAGCGAAAGATGAACGGTGGTACGAACAGAAAAACCAAAGTGAAGGATGGAGAAGAAATAATTCAATATACATAAATTATCGGAACGGCGGTACACAGTTTTTTTCTCTTTCGATTTTTAACCGTTGACAACATATCCGATCAACGATTTTCAGCGTATTGATTATATGATTGCCGCCCAATTATCAACGGTATTTCAAATTTTCATTATCAAATTCGACGTGCGCTTCAAGGGAAAATGATCAAAAAGACTTCGAATGTTTTGCAGGAACCAATCGTGGACTATGTGCCTAATGTCCGCACTGTGAACGTGACCGAGAATTTGTTCACAAATATTTGTGTGTTACTAGTCAAAAAACCTCAAAATATTTCAAGCAAAAACTATTTATAAAACTTCATCGGCCGCAATCAGTACCATGTACACCAAGCAAGTTCTCGTTCATCGGTGCGATCTTCAGCACGTTTTTAACGACAACATTTTACTGCGTGGTGACATTTCCATGAAAAAGTGCCAAAACACATAATTACCAATTTGCCAGCGACATCAGCCGCTATATTTTAAAATAAATCCCGCCGTGTATTTATCTGGGTTCGTTGTTTCACTGGGAGTGAATTGAATGTTTACGGCGTTGGAGAAGCTAAGCTACTTCTAAATATGATGTATCCAACCAGTTTATTTTGACGTTCAAGTGTGAAATATCGAAACAGATTGATATCAACGTTTATTTACGAGTTTTGTACGAAAACTATACACATTATTTTTTTTTGTTCGTTCAAAACGAGAAAACACCACTTTAATTCATATTTTGTCTGACGTGATTGTTGCCATTATTTTAGATACGAATCCATAATCAACTTGACGTCAGTTGTAAAGGTTCTAGAACATGGAGAAAGCTATTCTTCAATATATTACAAATCCATATGCTCGAGATTTTGTTTACACTAACGCCCTGTTTATATTTGTTGGCATTTTTAAATGGTTTCAAGTTATTTATATGATTTTCGATATTAAGGTGTGTATTTGATTGGTGTAAAAATAGTTTTGTTTGAATTCACGGAAAGGTTAATGGAATTGGAAATTGTCACATTTTCATATGATTGTGTAGAAACGGGGTTCAATTTGACCAAATTCTTCTCATGTTTAAGGAACTAAGATTGATTTGAAAAATTTTATCAGAATTGGAATGGGAAATGATATAGAAAACATCATCAATAATATGATCAAACATCACCTATTACATTTAGGATAAAAATATAAGATGATATGTATTGTATTACGTCCGTCCATATATGGTATTCATTCCATTCGGAACTTGATGTTTTAAAATCAGTGTTGTTGTTATGGTTATTTTTTCGCTGAGAAAAATCGCATTGTCGCAGCCGCAGCGCTGATGTTTACCGAATGTAAACAAACTAGCAAACTCTGAGCAGTAAATACCATGCATGCGTCTATTTTTTACTGAACATTTTTTTTTATCCCAAAAATTAGAAGATGTATTCACTGAATACTATTCAGTAATCTTGTACTTTCACTAATTTAATAGACCGAACGAATTTAGGTATTAAAAACTAGAATCTACCAACATGTTTTTCATTCTTCGACCTTGATATTGTGCCTATCATATCATCATTTATTCAATCGGTTTATCGGCTGACAACGACTTTCCTTTTCATATTGACTTCTTCACACCCAGCATCATAAATTATGCGAAATGGAATCCATTATTAATTCAATTCAAACATCAAAATAAAGTTACAAAGAAAATCGTTTGATTTCAAAGCTAACCGATTTAAAAGGAATGATTAGCTCATTACGTTGCGTTCTTCACGTACGCCCAAAATATCGGTTACGGTTCACCCATGATTACCATATGAACAACCGTCAAAACAAAAGCCACACACGAAAAAAAGAAACGTTCAACCATCAACAAGTGTGCGCCGAATATTGGATAAATGCGCCGAATAAGAAGAAAGACGAACACGCGAGACAAAAAAAATATGTCGATTGCATGACATCTGTGTGGACCATGCGTGCCATTCATTACTCGGGAGTCTTGAATTTAATCTGATCAGGTGGTTGGTTTTTGCTGTTAGTAGCTGATGATTATGGGACACATCACACATTAGCTTGTATTGAATTTTGTAATTAATTTTTTGTTCGTCGTTGCTCGTTGTGTGTTACTTGTTGATTTCAATGCCAAACGATTAAATAATGTTAGATATACTTTCACACAATTTGATTTTCTCTTGGACTACGTGTGTGTGTGTGTGTTCGGTCTGCAATCATGGTTTCAAGTTCAAATGCACAAACAACCTCGCAGAATTCAAAGTGCGAATTTGAACTGTATTTTATGGGTTGTTAACATTTAAGTGAAAAGACAAAACATCAACGTGACTAAACACACATCACTGATAGTATCAGTAGTGTTATGTATCTGATACAGTAGCCCATGCTTCGGTCCACATACGGTTAAATGTAATTAAAACGCCGCACGATGATGAGCAGATTCCAAAGCAAATCACAGTATATTTATATTTATGGCCACCAAAAATGGATGCGACGAACAATAAAAATATCACTTCGGACACTGACTCTCTCGCGCGTGAGCGCTCGACGCCGTATTCAGACCGGGAAGCATCAATTAATGCTGCGTACGATCAGTCATCGACATTTATCCGGTGTATCGACAGCACATAATTTACTGTTAGTTTTGCTTAATTGCACGGGTGAACAACATAATTTTCGTTGACATTTCCATGCTCGACATTTCTACTTCGCGTCATTTCATTCTCCTTCCGAACTTGAAATTCAGCGAACAAAGTACTAAAAGCAACAAAAAAAGCTGAGTAAACAAATGTTACATTTAAAATCGGAGAAGCGTTTATTATTAGCTTGACAAATGAATTTATCAAAAGTATAAATCATATTGATCGATGGAGTCAATGTTTGCGGTGCTGGCCTTTGCACGTACATCAGTTTCGAATCGAGCATAAATTATCGGACTATTATTATTATTAGTCATAAGCCGATTCGTTGAACGCCAAAAACACTGAATTGAAAATGAAATCGCAAAGCGAGCGGTGAAAAATCACATTGCCGTGATGAAGACAGTTCTTCCGTAACCAGAGAATGTCTGTAAATAGATTTATTCAAATAAATGCAAATGGTGTGGTGGCGCACGAGTTTATGATTTTGACAAGATAAAAGACGCGTCCGCATACCTTTCATCATGGTATAGACAATGTTAATGAGTCGCAGCGGAAGGTATCATTCGAAATGGATTAGCTCTGCAGTAACTCACTATCAGTTCGCGGTTCAATGTCAATGTTTTAAACAGCGGCAGCAAATAAATTCAAATTGGATTGACCAGTAAAATATTTGTTATCAAATATAACGATGAAAATAACGCTAGATTTCATTAACATTATATCACTTCCGCTAATGAATTATTCATTTTGATTCCATTCGAATGACTTCGAGCTCGGCTCAAGCCAACTTCGAGTTTTGGATTACGTTTTTCTTTAGTTACGCCCATTAATCTTTAGATATTTTAAGCAAATGTATGTTCTTCAAAAACCGGCGTGAATGAAAACAGATAACAAAATCTGTTACGTCAATGTATTTTCATTGATGTTTTTTTGTCTATTATTTTTTTCGTGTTTATTGTTACAAAGCGAATGTCATTCGGTCGCTGATTATGTTTGTTCGGCGTTGACCGTTTTTCGCTAGATCAAAATTATTTTTACATTTTTCGATTTTACTCCGTAATCGCATCTATTTTTGGAGGTTATCATAGCGCTGGAAAAACTCCCGAATCCTTGACTGTCACCAATTCCTGATTAGGTATCATTCCATTTCGACCTTCTCCCGTACCTTTGCCCATTATTAATAATAGAAAGTGCGATTAGCTATCGCGTCAAGGTTTTCACTTTTGTTTCGATCAAATACGGTTTTAGTGATCGAAAAACAGTCGTTCATTCAAAGCTGTTATTTGAATTTGGTGGCTAAATTTTGGTCATTTTGCTCTTAACTTGGTTTAAATACTTGCATTTTTTCCAATTCTCGCAGCTATCGAAATCAAGAGAATTGTTCGCTTAACAATGGCATTTGGCATTAATTTCGCGAACCAAAAAACCCATGACAAAAGCCAATTAAGAAACAAGCTCAAACGCACAAGAAATAAGAGCAAAAGCACCAGGAACTGTACATAAAGTTTAATACCTCGTGAGTGATATTTGAAAATTGCGCTGGAATACATATATTCTACTGTTGTCATTTTGGCTCTGTTTTTCTGCCTCAGTTGTCGATTTATTTGTTAACAAAATCATTTAATACAGATTTTATTGTAGTATTCGAATAATTAAACGGCTCGAAGGTTAATTTATTAGTATTGTTATATATTTTAAATGCACGTCTCTCATCATTCGGCTGCATCTGTGATGTGCCCCCGTTAAAATGTCACCGTAGTCGTGAGCATGCAGAAGCATCAATAATAATACGTGCGTGAATGCGCACATTAAAACAGTTAGCATGATAATAAAAACCGTCAACTTTATTAGTTTCCTCGTGTTTATTCGTTACATTTTATTTTTTGTTCATCTGTCGTAAAACGTTTTTCTCTTCATTCTCTCGTTTTGTTGATCTTCTCTTTTACCGTCTTTCTCCAGTTCAAGTGTTTTTTTAAGAAAACATTCGTGATTTTTGCTTTATGTTTTTTTTTTTTGTGAGTGTGTGTTTTTTCCATTCTTACGCATCATTTTTTTTCCGAATGCTCCTTTTTCTGTGAGCAAATGTTTATTTACAGAAGAGATCATGTGTGTTATAGCGAGATAGCTAATGTCAACGCCCATAAGGCACGCGTCAAATTATGCATTTTTCTGATGGGAAACCAAAAAATTGCGCGCTTCTGAAAACTGGTGAAATGGAATGAATTGCATGTTCGGTGCTTCTTGTTAAAACATAATTTTCCGCTTGATGTATTCAAATGTTATTCTATTTGATTTACCATTTGTGTGTGTGCCACGCATTCGAATGCGTGTGATGAAGTGAGTGATGTTAGATGGTTGCTCCGATTTGCGACTGTTTGTAATCGCATCACTCAAAACCGCCACCACTCACAATTATATTAGGTGTCTGTTGACTTGAAACAATTGGGATTCGAAGTAAATTCACATTTGGCGGCGAACTCAAAACAGCAACACGTTTCAAAGATACACATGAACAGCAGCAGCTGAGAGAGAAAAAACACAGAGAGAATAACAACATGTAAAAGGAGTTTTAGACGTAGATCCCTTCGTAAATGCGGCTCAATCACGAGTCACGTGCGATAATTTCAATTGACAACACACTTTACTACGTTGCTGAAGCGCCGTTTGATGTTGGACTGTTAGATATTTTTCGCTCGCCCTCTCTCCCTCCCTCCGTTTGGGTTGCGAGTATGTTGTTCTTATTTAACGTATTATGAGCCTACGTAATGCCTTAGCAGAACAAAAAGGAAAAACGAACAAGTCGCAATTGAAAACGCAAATATCAAATGGATTTTCCGTTAGCTTACATTTGTTTATTGAATTTAAAGCAAAATATTTCGATTCATATAACACACATCGATTTGTTTCTTTTTTGCATTCTACTATTTTTCTTTTTTATTGTATTTTAAGTAGATTCACATAGTATTTGAAGAAAAAAATGTACTTTTCCTTGTTGTTTAACTGGAACATTTTGACCGAATAAATTCCCTGAATCAACTAAATTAGCTTTGTGTGTTTTGCTCGAGTTTTTTTGTTTGCATCAACTTCAAAAGAGTTCGATTGGACATAAGCGCCTTTTTCAATGTCTTGAAGTGATTGCGAATGTCCGCATCGTCGGCATTTACGTCAATCCGCGCATATTTTTCCTTCTCCAGTGATTCAATGTACGATTGAGCGTCAACCAGTTTGTATGTCAGCTGGTTAATTTCGTTATTTCGCATCGCTATTATCTCTTTCAAATGGCACACCTCATTTTGCGCTTCCATCAACTCTTCCGATGATTTGACTCTGGCGATTTCTTTCGAATTCTCTCGTTTCAACACTTCAATATCCAATTGCAACTGGGTGATTTTACTATTCTTTTCCAAAAATAGTTCAGCAAATGCATTGTCTTGAACGTCTTTCATGTTTTTCATGCGACGCTTGTACTGTTGTTCCGAAGTTGCAATCACCTCACTCAACTGAGCCAAAAGAACATGTATCTTATGTACATCGGTGTTATTTGTCACAGTGTCGTTAATGAAATTATCGATTTGCTTGAGCAAACGTTGCGTCGGGTCATACGGCAAAGGACTCTGCGATGAAAAAAAAAACACTTTTCAAATCAAATGGAATAACAACCAGACTTTTTTCACTTGAAATTACCTCGCATGCTGTAGAAAAATCGCTGTCATTTGATTCAATGCTTTCATTACTATCACGTGCGCTGACAAAATCACCAATTTTTGAGGAATCACCAATATGTTTACCTTTACTGCTCGACTTGACGCTTAGATTTTCCAGAGACAAATCCAAATTTTCGATCAATTCCTAATGGAATATTTCGAAATATTTTTAATTTTTTTTTCTTTCCGAAAAAATGATTGAATGAATTGAGAGACTTACTGAAACTTTTTTGAACGGTGAACCGAGATCGTCGATGGATTCCGATCGATAGACATTTTTCAATGGCGATTCAATCGGTTCGGTGCCTTTGTCCTTATATTGTTCATCCCGTTTAACAACCGACTCTTTGGCTCTTGGTGAAGTTGGAATATCATTCGATATTTTCGGCTGTTCTAAATATCGCTGAACATGAGTTCGAGACACTCTTTCAGCAAGCACTTTCGTATCACTTGGTGAACGTTTAATTTTCTTTGTATTCTCTGCCTTTGGTGGTGATGCCGGTAATTTTGTTGGAGATGATGCACGTGATGTTGATTGTGACGCTGGCCGAGATGATGAGGACGGAGACGAAGTTGTTGTGGCCTTTTTCCAATGGAAAATACCTTTTTTCTCGATATTCACTGGCGAACTCATTTTGTGTTTAGTCTTTCGAAAATTACAAACTGATGCAAACTAAAGTTAAAATCGTGTCAAACTGAAGGGTAAGAACGACTTGATTGAAAAACAGAATTCGAAAACGCTACTTGGATTCAAAAGGCAAAAGAAACGTTGGCTGCTCCATGTATGATTCCGACACGCGTTCCATCTTTTGAAAGTGAGCGGAACTCTTGGTGTTTCCTCGTAAAACTCCATTCAATTCTAATTTTCAATGGTATTGATTGAAATCAAACAGCAAAACGTGAAATTCTCTTAAGGCAAATTGTTTCTGGAAATAATTTTTCTTTTTATTTGTTTTCTTTTATGCATGAAAAAAATCTTTTGTCGAAAAGTTATGTTATTTTTGCAATAAAAAGAATGAAAAATTGATTTCTCTTTTTTATTGTATTTAAGTAGATTCACATAGTATTTGAAGAAAAAGAAGAGCAGAATTTGAAGAGCAGACCAAAAAAATTGAATGAAAAACATCGAAAATGGTATTGAAATTTGAGGGATTGATTGTCTATAAAAAATGATGTAAAATATCCCGCCCATGTATCCGCATCCGTGTGATGCGACAGCGAGCGATTTGACTGGCAATTCCTGTGTCAAAGGCCAAAAGTTGTGTGTCTATTCGGTGCTCGTAATCATTTATTACACTGCATTTCTTATTCAAATACAGATAATAATGTAACATTGAAGGCTGAATGGAATATGCGAGAGCATTTTACGTACACGCTCACATACGTGGACACATATGGTGCGAGTGAGCAGAGTGAGAGAGAAACACACACACACACACCGTGTAAACACATTAGGAGTGAATGGTGCAACACTTTATTATACACATTATGAATTAATGTTTACGTGCTGAATTCAGATAATGTCAACAGAAAAGATGACAACATATCGGCATGAATTGACAGCGTCGAATATGCTTGCATCGAACAATGAGTTGTTGGCAACACACAATACCACGTATGTCTATTGAGATTGGTGATGGTGATGCTGTTGCTGCAGCGATTCATTTCAGCCTCTCATCCGGAGCTTCAAAGTTTATATTGTATGGCGAAATGGTTATGCCAAAATGATAAATAAAGTTAACTGTTTAACGCCCCATACACAGATGCTCGCTTCAATTCACTCCATGTCGAAGCAAATCATATTTTTGTCATATTAATGTCCTGATTGTTTTTTTTTCTTTCGCCTTTTTTTTCTCCGTAATGATGTATTACCATAGACACATCGCATTCGACAGTTTTTTTTCCTCGTTGTTGTTGTTCAGCAAACGAGTCAAATTTATTTTTAAAAAAAATATCGGTGCAGTTTCATTATTTCTGTTTAATTTACACTGATGGCGCACCTTTTTTTTGCTCTGTGTGTTCATTTGCGTGTACTTTGTGGAAGTATGCTCAACATTTTTATGAGTTTGGATCATTATTTCACATACAATTGTAATCCTATAAACAGATTCTGACTGATATTTACAATTACGCCGTGGAATGCTGAATAAATTAAACAGTGAATCACCCACCGAAAAAATCTTTTACTGAAAAAGAGTTGAATCCATCCGATCCATTGATATAGAGGAGCAGCAGCAACAACAACAAAAATTCAACAAAATAAATTCATTCATTTGAAAACACAATTTTTTGAAATAAAATTTTAATTAAACTTGATCAAAAATAACGCATGCCCGCAATAAATGGTTTTAGTTTCGTTAATTTTTTTATTTGACACGTAATTACGGGGTGATACTACTGCATTTGCATGTTGACGTAACAAATCAAGTGTCTTAGTACAAAAACACTTTAGGATTTTCAATATTTTTTCACTAATTCCGCTTAAAATTGCGGCCATTGGGATTATGATCGGCTGAAAATAATTATTTTCATGTCATTCGAAAATAAATTCAAATCATCGATGATTTAATGACTTTTGTGTTTGGCTATTCATTGGGTAATTATATACCAAAGGAGAGTTATTCGAAATGACAAAAACAAATCTTTGTCACATTTTTTTTTCGTTGGACACAAAACAACGCCTTATGAAGAAAAAGTGCATGTATGAAAACATCTGAAATAAAAAACGGGAAACTGAAAAGAGATCATGGACAAGGTTAAAGTGAAATACGGGAGAGGAAAAAACCATGAAGATAAATTGACTTGCCATCTGAAAATAGTCGAGGGATAGTGGCAACGACCATTTGTTTGAATGCGAAGAATGAAAAGGATAGCCGAAGTTTGGCAAATGTTTTGATGATAATAACAAAATGAGTTGACAATAAATTCCGTTTTGTTTGCACAAAGCCTATAGAATCATTATTCCACAGTCACCACAATACAACACAAACAATAACTGACGAACATATTTGGCAGAGAGAGTGCGTTCGATTTGTGAAATGTTTTGAAAGTCACAACACACACACACACACACACAGTACATGTGCAATTGTTAAAGCGGTTAAAATAAATAATCATAAATTACAGAAAAAGAAAGATAGAAAAAAAGTAACGTTTCACCCTCAGTTTTTTTTTCTCTCTCAGTGTATTTTTCATGATGAATTGCAAGCGTCTGGCTGTATATAGTTTCAAATTTGTGTTCTGTTTTTCTAGCATTAATTTTGTTCTCTCACTCTCAAAAACTCACAGCCAAAGAAAGACAAGGTCGTAATGTGCTCTTTTTCTATTCTTATTCCTTGATTATGTAAATATGGGTTTGATCATTATAACTGCTGAACATTTTAAATTATTAAAATGGGGTGCATGCGAATGAAATGACGGAGTGTGTGTGTGCATCACACCACTCTTTCACGTGAGGTGATGGCCCCATTACAACAGATACTTTATGTATTTTCTTTGATTTGTTTCAAGTTTTTGTGCCTTTCATCTCTGTCTCCCTCTCTCTAGCTCTCTCTTTCTTCCTGTCGATCTTTCACTCTCTTTCTCGCTCGCTCGCTCACTCACGCTGCAAAACGAGACCAAAAACAAAAACAACGCTTGAACTCGAATTGTTTGCCCCCATTTTGGAAAATGGAAATGCGAATCGCGAAAAACTTTTACAGCAATAGCTCATTCTTCATCATTTTAACGATAATTTTTCGAAGGTCTCGAGCTTTATTTTTGATATAGCGCAGTAGACGAAAAGTACACAATTTCCATACAAATTATGTGTGAACTTAACAGGAAAAAGTCTCGTTTCGAATTCGGGCACTTTGCTGTGCGCGAGTTGCACACAAAACATCAACAATGTAAATGTAGCGTAAAATATTCAAAATGTAAATTTATTACATTTTCTTGAATTACAGCATATTATTCATTATGACAGGCATGAGTTTTTTTCGTTCGCTTTCTTCTTCTTCTTCCTCAGTGCGGGTACGTTGCGAACGTTCCCCAAAAGCACATACATACACAATTGCTTACGTCCATTTTGTTTGCAACTAATTTACAATGCATATTCAGCGTGGCTCTAAATCATTTTGCTGCTGGCAACTTTGCCGAAACTTTTCCATTCCGCCGGAGGAATTTCAATGCAATCGCAAACAAACAACAACAGCACGATTCTTTGAAATGTTTGAACATTTTAATTATTATCCAATGCTGGTGAAAACACTAAGGGAAGAAATCGTTGTTTAGAACTTTATGGAAAAAATCGAAAGAAAATAAGAAAAAGAAGGCACGTGTACTCATCAAAACAAAATGAAAGTACAAAAAAAAATGTAATAAAATCAAATCAGTTCAGCGTCATTACAAAACTGTCGGCCGCTTTTAACTACAATTTCTTCTATGACCGAATGGCTTAGTAATTGCTTTGTAATCACCAACGGCGCCGATAACAAACATCGATTGAATTAATCGAACGATTTTGATGCGTTTAGGTTTTTGTTGCTCAAAGTGGAGCAATTAATATCAGTTTGCCGTCAAAGACCAGGAAGTGTAATTTGATTGTTTCATCAATGCGACGAGTAAAAACTTGCCGTTCGAAAAAAATAATGTTACATATCGATGTCAGAGAGTTGGAGAGTGCGGAAAAAGAGAGAGAGAGAGTGTGTGTGTGTATTAAGCGAGATTACCATTTGAGCTCAACGAGGATTACAAATTGAATTGTTATTCGGTTGATTAGGAAGCAAGTGATGAGCGTTTCGTCTACACATACATACAGTCACAAGCACACATGTGCGCGTTTGATGTTTGCACAACCAAATTTAATTTTAACAAATAACCAATTTTGATAAAACTTTTGCTGCAGATTTGTCGGCTGCTAAACAATCCATATATGCCAATACGATGCGAGAGATGTGCAATATCATGATGAATTTCATCAGTGCTGGATTTCGGTAGGTAAACATTGTTTACTAAACACTAAACATATATATATATATATATATATGTGTGTGTGTGTGTGTATCGGGAATGGAATTTCCAAATGAACTGTACTACTTGCTCTATATAGAAAAAGCAATTCGTTTACGTTTTAGTACCTTTCGCACTTTCGCTTTTTTGGGCTTAGCATAATGTGCACACGTGCGATTAGATTCCATTTCGTAGCGCCAGATCTACATGGGGATGTGTATGTGTATGTATTTCCATTCATATTTATTATTTAATTTTACAAATTGGCCAGTAATGCTCGTCAGCAAGTAATTTAATTTGATGCGATTTGCCGTGTGTGTATGTTTGTGTGGGAACTATCCACTTTTACCGTGGATCAATCAAGTCATTGAATTCCGTTTTTTTCATGATTTGCCTTTCTTTCGGTGTTCCTTACGCCAATTGAGCTGTCTGCGGCTCAAATCTTTTTTTTTCTTCTCGGCTACACACGATGAAAACAAAATATCATCAGCGCCAAGCCATTTCTAATCTGATTCCTTGAGCCAACATAAGCTCAAAATATTCCGCCAATGGCTTAATATTACGTACACAAACACATACAGCCGTACACCTTACAAACGCACTCATCATCATCATCTTACAAATAAATATTGTTGCACAATGTTGTTTACACGCACAACTTGCTATCGTCGCCTTCATCGTTGTTTGTTTTGTTTATTTTTTGTGTGAATTTTGGGATTGGCTTTCATTGCCGATGCCAATTTCGTTGTTGCTTCCTTTTTCGTCTCCACTTTTTTCTCTTTATCCGTCTTCAATCGCCATCTTCATAGAATTTATAACTGAAATCCTCCCAAGAAAAAATAAAATAACAAAATTGGATAAAAGGGTGCCCTGGATCAAAATAAAGGAACCAGAAAAAAACCAACATGAAATGAAACATTTGATGAGAGTGCTAGTTAGTCAAACCGCTAGATTTAGTTACATCGCACCCACATCGATATGTGCGATTTTACATTTCAGTTTCCATCTCTGGGTTGTTCATTCATTCGTCCAATGTGCGTTGTTGTTTCTTCGCTCATCTCTTGTACTTTTTCTACTTCTTAGGTTAGATTGTGTGTCGTGGTCTTTTGCCGTTGAATCGTCCGGTTACCATTCAAATCTCACATAAGTACTTATTATTACGTTTTTCCAACTTCTTTACCAAAGCAATAAATTCCGGTATGTTTCCGTCGTTTTCGTTTGCATTGTTGTTTTTTTGTCTCTTTATTTCGATGATGGTTTTTTGTGTCCTTATTCAATGCGCTTTTTTCTTCTTCCTCTTTCGATTTTCCATCTGTTTGTTAGTTTTCGTGTATTTTCTACTCTATTTTGCTGCCAACGAAAAACACACATTTTCTCAATAGATTCTCATATGCGTGCACCATTCGTGTTTTCCAACCGTAATCACAGAGAAGCAGTAGTAGCAGCAGCGACGGCAACAGCATCAACCAAACCAAAAGCAGAATAGTACTTAATATCAGCTTATTTTGGTCTCATTCATTCCGACTGGTTCAATCCACGGAACAAGCTACTTTTACACAGGGTGTAACTATAGCAACAGTTTTGGCTCCGTTCTGTGTTCTGTACCAGCCACATATTATTAACTCACTGATTACGGTCTTAAACACATTCGAATCGGTCTGTATCTCTCTGTGTGTGAATGTATGCGTGTGAGTGTGTGTATGCCTGTGACTCTATTGATCCGAGCAGTTCTGTTTGGTTGCCACTGATGCTGCTGCTGCTGCTGGAGCGCTGGATGGAAATGTATGCGTTTGCATGCGATAAACATACAAAAATGTACAACAAAACAGAGGGCAATTCGTGCAATGTGTGCGTGCCATGGAATGATTTGATTTACACCGCCCATATAAATTATATATAAATCGTTGAGTGTATCAGTGTATTAGAGAGAGACACAAAAGGAGCAAAAAAAGGAAACGGGTAAAATCTCGTGCAGCAACACCACGATATTCGCATGGATACGAACAACGGCAACAGAGCAGCACACCAAAGGGAAAGCGCACACACAATACCCGGAGTGGATGGAATGAATGTTTTGGAGAAGAGGAAAAAAACACACGATTGCGAGAGAAAGAGCATGGAAAAAATGATTCACTAACAAAAACCCGTCAACATTGTAGGCGTGACTAAGTGGAAATAACGAAAAAACCTTCCGACTCTCGGGCTGCCGTTGCTGCTGATGCTTCTGCTGCTGGTGTTGTTGGTTTGCGAGACTTGATTTCGTTTCTCTTCATAAATCGTAGATTTTTCCGTGATCCTTTTGTTTCGCACACATTCCCATTTCGATTGATTTCCATACGAATATCACGCACATCGTTCGCAAAAAAAGCTTTGTTCGATTATGCATTTCGCTCACATTCGTCGACTCAATTTCAAAAAGTTGTTCAAAAATGAAATCCACTCTTTTTTCCGATTTGTTGAAGACAAAAAAGCGACGTGTGTGCGTGCCTGTGTTTATAAAAAACTGTGCGAAATA